GTCTTAAGAGCAAAGTAACTACGATGTTTCTTGCAAGGTAAATGTGAGTCTTTTCCGCTTCCTGAATGTTATTTCACATTCTTTCATTTTTAATGTTCAGCGTGGAAGCAACTTTTGCCAGCGGGAGTTCCTTTCCCATGCAGCGTTGATCTGTTCACCTTGACAATGAAGGTAAAAGACAAAATGATAAGATCCTGAGATGAATTGGAAAATAATGAAGCCCAGCTAGCCTGGGTCGAGAAGTTTTTTCTTTTTCTTGGTACAGGACCTGAAGCTGGACTTCTTGAAGATGAAGAGACCGCTGATGAGATGTTGAGAGAGGACAGTGTCCTTGACATTGTCTAGATCCAGAAGCTGGGAGGAAGGACAAATCACCTTTAATAGTACAGTGTATGTAACCACCATTTTATTCAATGTAGTAAAATTCTGACAATTTCAAGGATCCAAAGGGTACAAACATACCAAAAGGGGTGGGTGAAGGCAGAGCAGCAGCTGCAGTAGGTGAATATAGCGTTGCAAATCAGTTCGCAGTGTACTTGAATGTGAGTCAGTGTGAGTTTCTGTGTGCTTCAGAGAGGTTATTTATACCAAGTCAAGTAAAACCACTAATAAATCAGATCTCGGAAACAACTTTTAACCAATTCACCAAGAAGTATCTTAAAAATTGCATCTAAGAATTGCATCGAGTCAAGAAGTATGCTATGTGGTTTTTCAGTCACAAGGTTTGGTCATTAGAGACAGGTAAAAAGGTGTTTAAGCAAGTTGCTGGTGGTAACCGAGTTGGTCATGTGGTTGGTCGTGTGGTTGGATATACTGGTGTCGTTGAGAATAAGGATGGAAGTAAATGCACAGTCATCAATGTGTCAGTCAGTCGGTTGGTGGACAAGTACGAGTAAGCGTGTGGCTAAGTAGGTAAAATAATGTAAATGTAGACTAAGTGAACCGGTCAGCTGTCAGGAGTTCAGGTTGGTGGTCAGTCAGTAATCGTAAGTTCGGATGTACCGCAGTGATGTAAAGTTAGTGAAATAATAGTTAAAATGTACCAGGTAAATAAGGTTGTGGTGTGTTGATCGGTCAGTCAGTAAGTAAAAGTAATCCGTGTACATGTATGTAACTAAAATGAAGTGACAGTAATCAAGTAAGTAGTGGTAAGCTGTAACAGTATAAAAGTGTAAGCAGAAGTTTTTAAGTATGTGTATGTAATTAAGTAAATAAGTTGGTTCAGGTCATTGGTTGGTCTGTTGGTCGACCAGCTCATTTGTCAGTCAGAGAAAAAGGGAAAGTAGCTAAGATTCAGCACTGGGTGTTATTAATTTATTTGACGGTCCAGTTGTTTATTCCGAAATAATAAATCTGCTACCCTTTTCTTCATCAGAAATAAAAAGTGCAAAGCCAAAAAAGGTTAATAACAAAATGGAAAAAAAATTTTTAAAAGCAGTAAAGCAGTAAAATCAAACGAATCTAAAAACAGAACTTATAAAAAGAAATGTTTTAAAATAAAAAAGAATTAGACTCTGGGTAGTGAGAGTACAAATTGGAAAGCAAGTGATGAGAATGTTAAAACTCAGCAAGCGAGGCAGTCAACTTGGACAGTGAAAAAGATGGTACTTGAGCAAGCAAAGCAGCTTAGTGAGCACACGATGAAAAGACAGCAGGGATTGGTTCGGGAAAGAAAGATGGTTCGGCTATTAAAACGATCATTTTGTATTACGCGCACATACTATCAAACATTTCTATTCAAGGCACAGCTGTAATTTGTGACTGCAGTGGGATGATGAGAAAAAAGACTTTGAAATGAATTATTTTATATCATATTGAATTATTCGTATTCATGAAGCCCAGGCAGTCGGGGTCGAGAAGTTTTATTCTTGCAGAGTTGGGGACTTGTTTTGTGGTGGGACTTCACAAGACTGGATTCCACATGATTGATGATGAAGGGAGAGTATCCTTGGCAGCCTTCTAGGATCCAGAAGCAGGGAGGAGGAACAACAGATGACTGATGACCTTGCTTGCTGAGTTAATAGATAATTAAATGCAGTCTCACAGGTAATCAAAGAAGAATTTTCTTCCGTTTTATGAAAAAGATGATATTGAATGTATGTCAAATCAATTAAAGGCAATTATTGAAGAGTTTTGGCGGATGTTTTCTATATTGGAAAGCGGCATCATCTTTTGCTCGTTAAAATCATTTAACTTTTGGCTAAAGAGACATTGTCCCAAGGTTTAGAAGAGTCAACATTCTGGTATTATATGCCTTGGCATTGTTTACCAAATGAGATTGTTAAGGCTCCTCTCAAATTGTTGTTAGAAATTGATGTCTTATCACCCCATCCAAATGAAAGTTGAAAGTTCAAGATAAATGTTTTCATAAATTGTGACATCTTCCATTTGGAGACTATTTCTGGTAAATGACAAGGAAAAGAATAAAAAGTCATTGCATTGAAGCCCAGCTAGTCTGGGTCGAGAAGTCAAACTCAAGATAACTGTTTATCAGTTTTGTTGTATATTCCACAGTTTTTCCAATGAACTAGTTTACAATTCTCAATTTCAAAGTTTACATGCTTGCAGAAATGTTGCAGAGACAATAAAGGTAAATGGCCAGGTGATGAGCAAGAGTGAATTTGGAGTGAATGTTAATATTACAGTCATTTACAAAAGTTTAGGACCACCCATAGAAAATGCATTAACCTGAAGGAGAACCAAACTTAAACCAATTAATCATGGCAACTTATGTTTATTTTCAATGTGTAACCTTTGTACCTTGGTTGAACATTTTTGACTACTTTTCCATGATTTGACATGTTAACAGTCTAATATTCAGTGTGCCCTCCCTTATTTCTGATTGCTTAGAGTGGCTTTTTTTACCCATGCTGCCTTGCAGATAAAATGTCAGACAAAAAAAATTCATTCAAATGGGTATGTAGCACTACACTGATGTTATGCACCACTGTAAAATCATGTTAAGTAATCATTCAGTGAGACATTGTAATGCAGACCCAGTGACAGAAATACCAATAAAATTCAAGGTGGTCTTAAACTTTTGCAAATGACTGTAATGAAACCCAGCAAGTCTGGGTCAAGAAATTTTGTTCTTACAGAGTTTGCTAAAAGGTGTGCATCTGAACTTTGTTTGACAGGACAGTGTGTGATTAATGATGAAGAGAATAATTATGAGAAGACAGCATTAGGAACAGATTTCCAGGAGCCACAAGCAGGGAAGGAGACTGAAAGATGACTGACGACTCTACTTGCCGAGGTAAGTCTGTTGGTAATTAACTAAGGCTAATAACCTGACAAATGTTTTGTTGGGTTTCCTTCCGCTTGAGCCATGGGAGTCAGTGTTTGAGGCAGCATGCTCTGTCTTCTTTCAGGAGACATTGACACATTTTATCACACCAGAGTAGCTCAGTTACAAGCTTTATCCATCTTTTTTCAGAATCATGTTTAAATTTTACTGCTGTTTTGGTAACTTTCCAACAGACTGTTCCAGGACACGGTGCAAATCTTAGCAATCATCACAGATGAATATCCAGGACCTGGTAAGCAAGAGAACCTACCACTGATCTGAGGTAAAAGGAGGAAATAACTGGAAATGTTCCATTCAGCACAATATTGAAGTGTGGATTATATGTACCCTTCTGGGTGCTACATCTGTGTATATTCTTGCTAATTAACCACTAAGATAATCAGTTTGGTTCCCTTTAGACCAATTCTATCCCTCCAGAAGTAGAAAGTGGAGTTTTTACTGGTCAGTGCAAAGAACCCACAGCACCACTAATCATACACATTTCCTGTTTTGTTGTTTCATGCAGATTTTGCTTGCTGGTTATCAAGACAAGAATACCTCAACTCTTAATTTCCGGCACCCATGCCCTGTCACTTCAAATGATGCATTTTATAATAATATAACTGTCATGTTGAACAGCAGCCAGATTAAAAATGACTTAGGTTAAGGTTATTGTTTTGCTTCAATTGTTCTCAAATTTCGAAGTTCCAGTATATTTGAAAGACATGCTCTCCTTGCAGTGATCTTTAATTGTAACTCAGCTAATATTGTTGCTCCAGTTAGTTGTCATTCATTTTGCAAATTACTTTTAAAATACTTTTTAAGGATAAAGGGGAAAATTATTTCATTACTCATGAATCTAATTGGTGGAATAAGTGTCTGAACCAACACTATTCACAGTTTTGTAACGCCATGTAATTAAAAAACATTAACATTTACAAAGACAGAGCATGGGGTTAGAAGTGTGTGCAGTAAACAGTTCATTTTGATGGTGCTGTTATATGCTTTCAGACATTTTTTAAAGATATAACAACAGTATTTGTAGGCAGTGATGGCACATGGCAATGAAATATTTTTCTTAAGATTTAAATGAACTTTATACTGGGAAGGCCTGTTTCGCTGTCACAGTCAATCAAGGACCTTCCTATTACAATATTTAGGCTAGACCAAACTTATTGAGTTCTTAGCAACTGTATAATGATTTGAAGAATTATGGCAACAGAAGGCACTGTTATATAGGCATTTTTACCTGGAGTTTTACTCGATCGCTCACTATGAGGGTCGGAAAGGAATTTTCAGATGTTTTTACCCATTGGGTTTTTGATCTGTTTTTTGCCTTTCCCAGGTAATTTTAAAATTATGTTGGGCAGATGGAAACACAAAAAAGCAGGCAGTTCAGAAGTGCTTTGAACTCTACAAAAGTACTGAATTATTCCCTCTGAAAATTTGACAGATAGCCGATACCACACAATGTTGTGGTTGTGTTTTCAGTGTACTAATTAATGTTACCAGTTTACTCTTAATGTTCCTTTAGTATGTCCAAAATACTAATACTGGTTTTTCATGAAGAATGAGCAATAAATCATGACCTGCATTAATATATGAAAATGCTGATTAGACTTGACCATTGTTTTGCTCATTTGATTTGCAATTGAACAAAAGAAATATGTTTTCCCTTATTTAAAGTGGCTGTGAATGGTCTGAAGTCCATGGAGCAGGACAGGGTCTGTTCTTACGTCTTCACTACAAGAGTCCTGAAGTACTGTAGTCATCTCCAAATAACTTTGATGCGCTGTGGTCAACATTATATTACAGAAATAAACACAAAATTCACAAAAGCTGTAAGACAAAGTGACATGAACATTTATTCTAATAATGAAGCATATTCAACTCTAGTCGGGCATCAAAATTTATATTTTGATTTAGGGCTTTCACTTTAAGATTCTTTCCAATGTCCAGCTTGTTTATAAAAGACACTATAAGCAGGAATGAAGGCAGTGAACACAGTTCACCTTTTATATTGATGAACTTAAAAAATTCCTCAACATTTACTCAAGGTAAGCACCTTCAATTAAGAATGACATGCCTTCCCAAGCATCTTTCTTAATCAATGCTGGAAAATGAATGATTTTGTTTTGCTTCACAATCATCGTCAATTTCATGTTACTTTTTTTTTTTAACAAAGAGCTTTGTACAAGTATATTACACACTGAACTTTACATATATGTGCTTCCATGTCCTAGAATAACGGCTGCATCCCACGATATACAACCTTTTGACACTGCATTCAACTGGGGTTACTTTTAACTTGTTGGTTTGCATTAAAGAACCTCGGGGATAAAATGAGTTCCAAGGAGCATATATTATGGGAATGGTTTGATGCAACTTTACTCGGCCCAGCTAAGTTTCACTTCACAGAAATTGGCTTTGAGCCCTCGTTGTGCTTTACTAAGTAGTCTTGAACTGATGACTGCCTAACAATGATATGTGAAGACAATCTATCTTTTCAAAGCCACACTTTGACCCTGCGCCGTGACCCTGGTTTCTCAACGCAAGTATAATGTACAGGCATTCTACAGCAACCATTTGCCTACAGAAGCCATCTTGTGCTATGCTGATATGGAAGGGCCCCCTTTGGATTACAGTGTTACATTTCTACATTTATTTCCAGCTGATTATTTCTTTTCATTTTCTTTAGATTGCAATTAATGGTATGACCTCAAACACCATGTTGCATGGATGAGTTCAAGCTTACGATGAACTTTCAATTAAAATACAGTACAATCCCTTGTTCAGTAATTTGATGAACAATTTATATATATAACACAGTAAAGTAAAAGAAAAATGAACATAATTATTTGAGAACAGAGTACTGAATTAAAAGATCTGCAACTCTTACCTCTTATGCACAAAATGTATGGAACAAAAGGGAACAACTGCTTACAGTACAGGCTGGGAACAATATCACATATGATGAAACTTCTAACACATTATTTTCAACTTTTGGATGTAGAAAAATAAGCAGTTACAGGCTACTACAAGGTCTACAATATCCTACATTTAGCTCTGTATGCATACCTTAAAGTCAAGAATTTTCTGCTTTCTGAAAGTCAAATTCTGCTTTCTTCCACGTTCTAAATTTCGCGTACAAAAACTGTACGTGACTGTACAAGTTCATATGTACAGTACAGTAGGCCTACATTTACCATACATCTACAGGTAGCCCGTCTTTGGCATAATGATACATGTAGGGCCTACAAGCACCATGCCACTGTGATTTTGGACTGGTCCCCATGCCTACTGATTTATTCATAAGCTGTGAATCGTCTGGGCACTATGTAGGGAACAGGGATTAATTGTGCAGAAAAGATCAACAATATTTGTTTTATTCATTTATTTTTTTTTTACCGAGAATTGTGTTTTCCGCTTTCTACCCGAAATCCGTGATTTTCGCAGATTTTCCAGAAAGCAGAAAATTCTTGACTTTAGCATACCCCAAATTGTCATATGTACAAGCAGTTAGCTACTTTGGAAACAAATTGGGATCATGAAGGGTTGACATAATTTTAATGTTGCATTCAAAGTTGAAAGATCGCTTTCATAGAGTTCCAGAACACAAAACCAAACAACACAAAACAAACTTTTACCCAAAAAGATATGGGTACAATTCAAATTGTAATACAAATGGCTTATGACTCCAGATACTTTGGCATTTCATTCATGTCTGGTAACTGCTCATAATCTTAATGAAATACTATGTAACCATGTTGCCAGAAAAGTGCTTGAGATTGCCAAACTTAGTCAATGCCATTAGCACCAATGCTTCTGTCTTGTTTTTAGTATGTTAAACATCTTCAAAGCCTCTTTTAAAATCCAGACTGCTCTCGGAACCACTAAAAAATGATCCTAAATCCTGTTTCAATGCATGGAATACAAGCAATCTTCCCTCACCTTTTGTATCAGCACAACGATTTTGAAAAGGGAAGGTGCTGTGTGATTGGTGCAAGTTGTGACAAGTGGTTGCAAGTGGTGCAATGTCTAAAAAGCACCCCCCCACACACACACACAAAATGAAAAGAAAATACCCACAATTGGTCTTCCCACTACTTTAGAAAATATGAACATGAATAATTACATACTGGAAAAAACAAATGGCACACAGAGTTTCGTACTTAAATATGTTTGAGAGAGGCAAATTGTTTGTCTAGAGTTGCTTCATTATTACTGTTTCTGTCATCTTAAATTTTAATCAGAAGGAAAACTTTGTTAAGGTATAACAAGCCTCTATTATAACATACTCAATTGCCTAATTTATAAGAGGGTATATGAATGAAGTTACTGATTCTCGTTACCAAATGCACTGTCAATGAAATGAAACTTACATTTTGCCACTTATTTGAAAACCTATCTCCCAAATGAGCAAATTCTCTGGCATATTTAACATTGAACAGTTAGTTATGAGATGGCCTGGTCACTTGTATAAGCACTGTGCATGCAATGGTCCATTTTAAGTGAAAAAGTCAACCTGCCATAAGAAATTACTCATCAGATGCTATGCATATTCATAATACTGATTAGCAATGAAATGTAATTTGGACTTGTACTGTGCCTATCAAACAAGCTGCTTTACATTCTTTCTCAAACATCCATATTTGAAGGCAACTAATAAGTCAAGAATATTTATAAGGCATACTATGTAAATCTCAGGATGGTCAGGATACATGAGGGTGTTGGCAGGTGCATGAACAATAGGGGTAGGGTTTACCCTCCTTTTATTGTTGTTTCACTCTCATCCATAAAACAAATTCATCTAGCAACACGGGCCCTGTCAATAAAGAGGAAAAATCAATCAATCAAGTGATTGGAGAAACAGTCTGAAAAAAATGAAGAAAAAAACTTCAAATAATACTTTAAGATATAGAATTTCAATGATATCATTTGTTATTGTTTGCATCATCTTTAAATGCAGTTTAAATAATACTGCTTGAAATTATTTTCTGTTTAAAAAATAAACTATGGATTCTTGGAATTTTGAAACATCTTTCAGGTGAAAGTTTTACTGGAAATATGAACTTTATAATGCAAGCAAAATCTCCAAGGAATCAATATTGCAAAAAAAACAAGACACAGCTGACGTAACTTGATCTGACTCTTTTTCCAAGGAACCTTCCCATATTTTCCAATCTTTCACTGCGCAGCAAACCAACTACCTTTTCCCAATGAATGTATTAATTCCCACATACAGTAACAGTAGCTTAGCTCTGTCTTCAATCACTCCTCTCCTAGTCTCCTCACCCTCTTTATGGTCTTTGAAGATCTGAGTGGGTCAGGCTTCTATGAGGACTGACAAACTAACCTATTCACTGCATCAGGGGAATTCAATCAAGATCAACAGAAACCAAGGAAAATAGAAATTCAAAATGAAGAAGATCTAGATGACTTACATGCTCCGTCTACATCATAGTTGCTAAGGTCTGGCTTGATAGCACGACTGAACTCCAGTATATTGCACCACTGGTCCTTGTTGATACCCTTACAATTGGAGTGCTGGCAGAGGGGAAAACATCACACAACAATTGCGAAATTAAAACTTGACAGTTATTACAATTCTTTCACACTGCCCAAATTTTGAAGCCTCAGGATGTGTAGTGCTTTGTCATATTTTAAATTTTGTATTTTAAACAGCCTTTACTTTCTAAATGTTTTACTATTGTTGGTGATGGATTCTACCCTGACATTATCCTTATTCGTTTTTTTGGTGGTGGCATTTCAAATTTTTTGTACATATTTCTATGTTTTTTTTATTGTTGTCAGACAATTTGTTGACTGTTAATTATGAGAGCTGTGATGTGGCAAAGGATACTTAATTACAAAAAACATCCATCACAAATGTTGTCACAGTACTCTCCTCATCCAAGGCATGACTGCCTATCGTATTTGCTGCATGTAGGAATGAGCCAGTTTGATATTCCAACAGTGCAAGCCCTGAGTGAAGTCCTACTTGCCAACTATTCCACTTTAAATGGAACTGTCCTGATTTTTTAAGTTTTCGACTGCAAAAAAATTACAACATTTTGATTTTCCCCCAAAAGAAAAGTAATAAAAAAAAATAAGAGAGAGGGCACTATTTGCTTTATCAAAATGGCAAACACTGAACTGGCTCACTGCAGATAAGGAACTCATGATATCTGCAAAACGAAAATGGGGATAGAGCTAAAATCCTTCTGTGTCAGTTAATCACACAGAGTCTGTTACCGACTGAAACAACAAAAATGTAGCATTTCATCACTCACAAAATACAACCCTTGATTTCTGGAAGGAGAAAGACATGACAATGATACTCACATCTAAGAACTGCTGAAATGAATTGAATAGTACCCACTGCCTGCCTAGAAGTAGCGTTAACATTGCTTTGGCAGTTTCTAAGTCTAAAGTTCGCACGTCTTTATCCTGCCAAGAGATGAAAATATCAAAACTCAACTCAACTGAATATTCAAAAAGTTGTACTTCGAATACTCTCTTAGAGTTTGTTTCTCTCGTAAAAAAATACACATGAGGACCACACATTCAATTTTCATTTGAACAGATGTTCAAGGACATCTTGGGATGTCTGACAAGTTCTATACAGACATTTTCCCATTGTTAATTGGCTTCTTCAGTACAGCCAGAAAGATAACAATCACATGCCATACCAAAGTGAGAAAAGGCAATGTAAGAATGTCAGAAGAAGTCCCTTTTTAGACTATTTGAAACAGAAATTAGAAAAAGTAAGAGTTGGCTTTGACACTGCACGTACAAGCCCCTCGCAGGCCATCATTATCTCATGTTTTTCTCAAATTTAACCCTAACAGTCCCAAATCCTCCGATTTCAATATGATTTACATAGACCGTAGGGGGTTAGGGTTAATGTGAGTGAAAGTTTTCCAGGAAGTTGACTTGAATGAATAAGAGAGAGTTCAACGTGGTGGAACGGAGAAGAGAAACAAATTAACCTAATTATATATCCTAGGGGCTTTGAACAATTATTTGATTCTTAGTAAGGATGGAAATCTGGGCCAATTTGATCAAGTCTGTCTCAGAGTCTAACTTAGGAATGGGTAAGCAACAAAACAGATCAAGAAAATAATAATGAAAGACAGAAACACTTGAAATAGCCCACAGCAATGTGATCTCACCCTGGCAAAGTCAAATGCGTATCTGTAGATCTTTTTGAAGGTGGGGGCATCATTAAGTAGTGAGCGTAGGTAATCCATCTTGCCTTGCAGTTTCCTGGGATTATCAACCCTAGAGAAATCACAAAGGATATTTAGAAGCTTGGAGGAGAGCAGCGAGATCTTATATGACTATAACCAAAACAGCATTTTGGTCTCAGGTTGAATTGGTTTAATTGAAGAATCTGCCTGCATTATTCTGTGCAGGATGAGTTATGGCACAAAATTTGTTCTCCTGTGATTTCACGCTTTCTTCACTTATTTACTCCAATGCTTACAGCCTTTGGAGCACCTTCTGTGTTTGCTAGAGGAGTAGCATGGCTGTCTTCCTTCCTTCCTTGGAATTAATAACAAGATGAGTAAGATAATGGACGCTTGATAAAGACCTTTTCTGAGGTTAAAGCAAGTGGATGTTGCAAATATACTTTCCTTTTCACTCTTTGAGGTGTTTCTTACATTGAGTCAGGTGTTAATGAAGAGATACATTTGAAAAAATCTCCAATTTAGAAAACATCCAACTCCTGGCATAAAGAAGAGGAAAGTCATTTGAAAGCATGAAATGTTTAACCAAAAAAGGCTGAATCAACAAATCTGGTAATGGCCAGCGCAATGCTATGAGCTCCATCGGTAGAATTTGTATGTAGTTCTCTGCAAGTTGTAGATTCAAATCTCACTGTTGATTTTTTGTTCCTTTTCCAATGAAAGATCCTCTGCAAAACTTGTGGCAACTTACTGTAGTCTGGTCATGCCCCGCATCCACTCCTGCAGTGAAAAGAATCCCATTTGTTCTGCCTCCAACTTCCAAGCAAGCACCAACATGACAATGTTCTCTGGTTCCACTCCAATATCCTCACAGAACTTCTCCATGCCCTCTGGGCCAATCATATCCTCCTGTCCTGTGTACTCCTGAAACCAGGCTTGACAGCGTTTGGAGGAAAAGGAAGAATGGGCGCTGTCCTGACTGGTTAACGAGGTCTGGTGGTGGTGGTGATGATGATGATGGCGGTGGTGGGAAGAGTTGCTATTCAAATTAAATAAGAATAATGGTATTCAAAGCTTTTTCAAATTCCAGTGTCCAAATCTGACTTACCCTGTACCATAACAAGGCATTGTGTACATCGGAAGTTCACACTCGGTATTTACGAGAATTAACAAAAATGAATGTAGTTCTGAGAACAAGGCTATCCTTCTTGCAGAGTTTATCCAGTAACCCTTGGGGGTTATTGCAATATTTAGGCCTTTTTTCTGTCTCACTGGCTGCCTGAATCTTCGATTATAGAAACTAGAAATTTCCTTCCTCCTCAAGCTTCTTTGTCCAGGTTTTTATTGGTATAGCTACTTGCTTCATAAACTCTTGTAATCTGCTTACTGCTGAATATAAGGATTTATCATAATAATAATGGGGACAGGGAAAAAGCCAGACTTATCATTGTGGTGAAAATAAAGCCCATGCAGATGGTCTACCAAGACTTACCTAGACCTTGATTTCTTCATCTTGGTCTCTTCTTCAACTGATAGTTTCCGTTTACGGCGTGGGGGCATGTCTTGGTCGCAACAAGGAAGTATATACGTTTGGGATATTGCTGTATCTGAAACACAGCTGCAAGATTCCTCAGCTCTCAATGGTTTCTGACAGGCACTCAAACTCTGTTATTCATATGAAATCAAAATGAGAATACACACAGGTATGACAAATGATATTAGAATTTTAGGATTTAGTGATTAGATCTGTTGCAATGCTCTTGGGTAATTTGCAGTATTCACCCAGCAAATCGCGTATGGCTAATGCGCACACTAAAAGCATGGGCACTCTGAATTCTATGGCAGAACGTAATTCTTGACAGCTCACAGATTTAAGTTGAGACACACAGTAAATTATTCAACTCACTTCCATAATGTCACTTAGTACTGATGGTGGTTCATACTTCAAGTATAATTCATATTTTTCAAATAATTAAAAAAAAAGCTATCTCTGTACAAAGACTGGATATCTTACAATCCCCCTTTTCCCCTGTAAACACATGCTTCAATAAGGTGATGAAATATAATGAAATAGAAATGCAAGAATTTGACATCTGAAATTTGTAAATCTGACTACATTTGTGTTTGGAAATTAAAAGTCATTTCACTTTGATTCCCTCCAGTTTTCTCAATGCAGTATGGGTTCACAGAAATCAAACAGAAGGAAGTATCTAGCCTCCTGAATCCAACAAGATATCATCAGAAATATGCACCTTTTGCAGAATGATCAAACAGAAACTCTTATCATAAAATGCACTAACCAAGCGAGTAAAGCACTGAGGTAGTGCAGACTGCTGTGAAGGTATGCTACCCGTCAGTTGCTCCAGTGTGACAGGCTAGGGGGTCAGTCCTTATGATCTAGGTATCCGGTGACTTGATGGGCCTGGAGGTAGTACAGCAAGGCACAGGACCTCTGCACTGCTGCTAACACCTACCGGAATTGATGAGGCCAAATTTTTAAGTCCTGCTAAACATTTTTTTTTATGCTGAAGTAATTCGCACAATCCAAAAAATGCTCCAAATTATAAAAATCCAAGCTTCTGCTCATAATTGACTGAAATATTATCTGACCTGCAATTTTGGCAGTTTGGAACATTTTAAAATTTTTTGTGTGTGAGGGGGGGGGCAATGGAAACTTCCTGCATCCCCATCCCAAACTCTCAGGACCTTTTTTTTCTTACTGTTAGCCAAAGCATTCACCAAATCAAAATTTAGCCAAAATTTATGAAAAATCCTCTTGAAAGATTCCACATACCTATAGTCCTGTCATACTAAATTCTCCAAGCTTATAAAGAGTGTAATCAAAATTTCTAAGAGTGTATCCAGTGCATACCCACACTCATCAATGAAGTAGGCCTATTTTAAAATTAAACTGAATCCATGTATCTCACTACCATTAACTACTGTGCTGTGAGCACTAATCTGGATTTTCAATTCAACAGGACAGTGGCATCAAACTCCAAATTTTAATTTTATTGTTCACAATTTTGTTCAACCACAGACAAGATGTGAATGCAAAGTAAGGCATTTCCTGTCCGTGTTGTACATTTTGATTACTCATTTTAATGCCTGGGATAGACTGACAAGTACATTAACATTATTTTTTTAGGTTTTAGTATGGAGATAAACATGCTCATATTAAACACTTCCCAGTACTGAATCATAAAAGTTGTCATCAATGACAATTAAGTCACACCCCCTTTATTAGATTAAGTAAACCTCTCCTTCTCCCTCCACTGACACAAATTATGAATTCCTGAATGGCACAAGTGATTCACAATACACTTCCTCATGCTAAATCAGCCCTTAATAAAATTCCCATCAGACACTGCACAGGAAATCCCTTTAGCAGAGGCTGTGAGCAGGGTGAGTGCATTAGCTCGGAAGCATTCACTAGATGGATGCGTATTGCAGTCAAGTGTATTGAAAAAAAGATATCTCATGCAGCCTTGACAATATGCACATCTGATTTTCTGCTCTCAATCTCATTTTTCATTGTATAGGATGTAATGTCTGGGTACGATGTGCATTATCAAGCACTGATGCCGGGCACAAACTATTGCTAAATACAGGACTTGCTCAGAACAGACATGCTTAACTGTATATTACAGCACTGGCAGACTATGATGTCATGTGATGTAAACATGACAAGCCTTGGGTCATGCTATTTAGCGTCAACAAAGTGTCAACAAGTTATTCAAGCATATTTATGCAAAGATTTTTTGTATAAAATGTTAATTAGGATCCTACATATCAAATTCAATGTATTATATCTATCTGAAATGATATTTGAGTGACAAAGTCAAGCTGGTTTGTTCAGTCCGACCGGCTGCCATCTTGTTTTTGCGTGGACGGCACAGGAAAGAAAGATGGTGGCCCCATGCATTGCAAAAAATTTTCATTTTCCTGCAAGAATCTGGAAGCCAATTTGATGTTTCTCTCATAAAGTGGCAAGTGTTAGAGTCTCGAAAATATAAACCACTTTTAAATCTGTAGAGGGTGATTTCAAGTTGTTGTCGCTTTGTTGATGCTACTTGTGTGTGTTGACACTTGTTAACACTTCTTGATGCTCAATAGCATGACCGAAGCCCTGAACTGTTTATTCTATGATATAAGAACACTTGTCAAGCAACAACTGTTTGAAGAGAAGAGCAAAATAATAACAGTACCTTTTGAAATTAAAAAATCACAACATATACGCACTGAAATTAACATATACTTTGAATAAATTACAATTGTTAAAACTTACAGCTAATAAGTTATGGAAAGAGTTCTAACAGAACTTCTATATCCGCTGCCACCTCCGACCTAGGTAAACAATGTTTTTGGGCCAGAAAAACAAGTAGTTGCAAAGAATATTGAAATTTCTTCAATACTTTTTAAATCTAGTTTTCAAGTCACATTAAGGAAGAAAAGATATGGTCAGACAAATAACTTTTCCAGTGTTTTTTGTCATTAACGGTAAAGGCTAGTTTTTCCAATAGGCTTACACCTATTTGCAAAATGGGTAGTGATGAAAAAGATTATAACAGAAACAGTTCCTTATTTACACTAACAGATGACTGGGATTTGTGGAACATACATTTTTGTTTGCTGGCAAATTGCCTACATAAATATTGATGGCATTATTCAATAAAGGAAAAAATGTTGCATCCTGACTCCACTTTTCTCATCATATATCATCTCAATAAAAGTCAGTCATTACAGAAATGTTGAAAAGACACAAATTTTGGACTGAGAAACATTTACCGATGTTGTCGGGAAATACTTAGAAAATACACTTCACTCCCCATAGACTTTGTACACAACTGCTGAAGTGGAGTCAGGATGCAACATTTTTTCCGAAGACTGCAGGGTAGTGTTACACTAGTATTATTATGAGCACTAGTCTACTATGTGTACACCACGAGTTCTCTCACAAGATGGCACATCACAGAGACTTCACTACTCTCGCACGTCTGGTCACTCTGACAACTTATCAGGTTTCTCTAAAAATCCATCTATCATGTCTAACGTTATCTTGTATGCAGTACAAGCCTTAACAAAACAATTTGGGCCATTCAATTTGTAAGTTGTAGGCCCCGGCCCAATGTTTGGGATTTTACACATAGGACTAGACCTATATTTTTGCTGTCTTCACTACTGAATTTCGCCATGATTTGACTCAATTTCTAAGAGAAGACAGTGCACCGAGTACACGTAGGACGTAGTTTCACAACCCATGCAGCATGTGCAGACAAGTACTGAACAATTCCCTGGGCACAACCCGTATGTCCGAGAATGACAACATGATAACATCAGAACTCAATCGAGTGACCCGCCGTGGTGCGTTCATGGCGTTATGGCGCAGACAAATCTACCACATAAATCCCGCATTTTTCATCCTTAGACAGGAGATTTTTTCCTTAGAATAAGGTGAATTTATCGAGAACATTACATTTTACTTACATCAAGATTTCTTTGCGACGATTGAACCTGTGAAAGGGTAAAACAAATCACCTTGAAATTCACAAGATCAGGAGAAACGCAGGTTTCCCACCACTGGCGATCGCCATGTCCGCGGTAGTGAGCATGCGCTAGACAATCCATCAAGTACTGAGGAGAAACGTCGTCTGTGATTGGTGCAATATTTCCTAAGGCATCAATGCACCAATAGGAGTGCTGCTTGTATAGGCCGTGTCCGGCATGTCGAATTCCTGCGAGCCAAAGCTGTCGAGAGAATGACAGACGTCAATGTCAAAGCAAGTATTCAGATTTCACCTCATATTTATTAGAATTTGAGAAGTAAATATCAATTTCACAATAAACTCATACATAAGTCAAATTATGAAAGCTTTCGATTTTGGTTTTGGATGCTTAGTGTGTGTATTTGTGAAATTTCAGCGCCTAGAAACGAAACGCCGTGTGCATAACAACGGGTTTGTACACGATTTTGTATAGGCCTTCAGGTACAGGCAGTGGCTACGCTACTTCGAGAAATCTCAAGTCACTACTCCGTTATACTCCGTGTACGAAGTAGTGACTTAGAGTTCTTAAAGTATGGTTATGTCATTTAAGGATTTTACATGATTAGGAATCGGTGCTGTCATGGCTGTGTAGTTAATTAAAGGCGCAATTTGCTGCGCTCAATTGAGAAATTCTTTTAAAAAGGAGTGAGTGATTCATGTCAGCCGACAAAATTTGTAAATTATGCGTTATAAGATATATATCCAGGTAGGTCTAGGCATAATAGCTGAGGCCTCCTGCAAGTTCCAAGCTAGGCTAGCAAGCATCAATTCTATCCTTGTAAGGAGGTCTAGCTTAGCTCTAGGTCGGCAACAAATCGCCTTTTTGATATGATACTTGGACTATTCACAAAAGCTTCACAGTGAGACTGAGATTGGTATGTCACAAAACTTCAACTTTATTTATGAGGTCACAGAGCCTTGGAATGACTGCACTAAAATACTCTTGTGTTTGTGTTCCCGGTGTTGAACATTCCACAAGGAATTAAATGGGGAAGAGTTGTATAAATGGAAATCACTACTTTGTCCCTACTAAGTTGTATTTTAGCTACCAGAAAGTGATAACCTGTCCTAACATGTCAAATTTAGCATGGAAAATCTTGAAGCTTAGAATTCTTGATAACAGTCTCACAGAGTTTGTGCACAGGGTGTCAAGTGATATCCATATATGAAACTCTTCCCATTAAATGATATCAGGGAAATGTCCTGCATTGAGAGAGGTGTCTTATGTTTTTCCAATATCCTGTCTTTTTCCTATAGAAAACATACAATCAACAAACCTAATGGTCACGGAACACACATATATGCAGAATGCCGTCAGTAGATGTTCGAAAAGATTTTCTTCTTGGCAGCTGTGCCTCCTTCTTTGACATTCCATCCGGAGATGGGGTTATTTCTCATCTCTTTAATGCCAAGGAGCTGAACACCTTCCTTGATGATGCTAACTGCTCAGTGCTGTCAGCCAAAGTCAACAGTCTAGGCAATGAAAGAAAAGTGCTCCTCAGCAACAAAGTAAATCCTGTGTGTCCAAAGTTGTGAATGAAATATATCTGTTCCCATGATAGCATCAACTGTGTTGTCCATTCTGTGGTTAGACCTGAATCTGAGTATTGAACGGCTGTTGTGTGTTTGTTATATAACTCATTGGGTTGGCTATACCCAGCAAGAAATGAGACCGAGGGGTACCCCCCCCAACATGTCCAATCCCTATACACATTCCAGACTATTGTTACTTAACACATCCCCCCAAGATGTCTGAAAGGAAGTCCCCAGATTCCTGCAAGACAGTGACCAACACAAAGCAGGGGAGGTTCTCTCCGTCTCATACCTTGCTGCATATGGGGTTGGCTATCCATTGCAGGGCTCCTAAAATATATGTTCCTAATAGTATCCCCAACCAATGGTATTTTAGGGGATTCTTTTGAAGTCCTGCTCTGCAAAGTGAACAAGAAATCTTGGCACTTGAATGAAACTGTGACACTGGGTTTCTTGTATTGTAATGGAGGAAGGATTGAAATTAAACCTATGTACATTGAGTGTTTGAGTTTAATGCATTTGGGGTTACAGGGTTAGTATTGGTTTGTATTTTAGTCAGTACACATATTTAGTTAATTTGTACCTTTTGTCTCCCATTTTCAAGGTTGATCCAAGCGAGACAGGTGAGAAAGTTCTAAGCTTCTTCAAGGTCCGACCAAATGTCATATCACAAGACAATGTATATTCGGATATCTTCTGTCTGTCCATGTTGGACTCTCCATGCAGCGCCTTATACCATGCTGTGGACAAGGTGTGTCTCAGTTGTTTTGCTTCAGTGCTTGTATTTCTAGGGAAGATTCACCAACTTGTGTTAAACAGAACCTTTGGATTGTATTTGTAGACATTTATGCTTCCCTTCTTTGAAGTCCCCTCTGGTAAGCTTTTGCCATTTGTTTTCCATTGCAGGTGTATGCCCCGTTGCTCATCAAGGATGAGAAATGGAGTCGCACATTGGATCCCAAGCTGCAGAACCTACTTACTGAATTTCAGGCAGGATTACAGAGCCTAATCAGGAAGATTGACCCCTCACAGGCTGGTAAAGTGGTCAGAGATGACAGTAATTTTGCAGGTAAGTTTGAGAATGAATAGTGTAATGTTGTAGCTTGAAGTTATAATTATGAACTTAAAACAGCTTTTGTGTCAATTCATGGCATAACTTATGAGCTTAAATAGTCAAAGTGCTTCTCCTTTAAAATGCTCATGGAGTTTTTGAAAATGTACTGTTGTACTCCTTATGTGATGAACTCCATATATCCTCAGTTTTTAGTTTCTATTCCTTTATAAAAGAACTAATTGAAATCTATGGCCGCTGAGCACTTGTCAGTGCTTCAATGAGGAAATCACTGTGTGTGTAGCTGTCACACCAGCATTAACTGTTGCTGTATTCATAAGCACAGTTGGCAGGCAGATTTTTAATGTCGTTCACTGATTGTTTTCTCCTCTGTTCAGGTATCTTGACTCCCAGTGATGAATTTCAGTACTGGGCAGAGGTCGCTATTTCGGGCACCAAGCTAGAAACCAAGGAGCGGGCCCAGCTTTTTCAGCAATACTTTGAACCGATTACAAGAGACTACAATAACTTAGATGCGTTGTCATTAGCTGAAGGATTAGACCTGGTGGAAACAACACAAGATGCATTGGATGATGTCTGGAAGCAGGGTGAATTTGACCCTTATCCAGAGAAGAGAATGAAACACTTTATAGAAGTCATTGGTAAGTTCATTATTCCAGTTGTACACAGTTTACAAGATTTTTTGCCGTCTTGGAAAACATGGAAATATTCTGGAATTTTAAAAAGTACACAAAATTATTTGGTTTGTCTTTTGTCCCTGTTACGTAGCCACAAAAAGAAGTGAAGTTCAAAGTCCAGAGTACATACAATCTTGAAATTGCCTTTGACCTTTTCAGGGAGTTCCCTTGGCAGATATGCTCAGAGGAAACTTAGTGTATTCAAGCTGTGGGAAGACCCTTACCACAGAGTCAAGGAATCCCTGACACAAGCCATTGCTATCTGTGATAAGTGGGTGGCATCTTGTGAGAGACTGACAGAGCAGTTCTGGAAGAGAGACCCTATCCATCCCTGGAAGAGCTCCAAGTTTGCACCAGAAGGTCTGGTCCAACTATCGGCCAGACTTCAGGAGGTAAAACACTAGGAAGATAATATAGGAAGACCTTTTTATTTTGGCAGCATATTCATAAAATGGGATTTAGTGTGATTGGTTTAGTCTTGGGTATTTAATCATCTCAACTCCCAAACTGTTGGATTGAAGTTCTATGGCTTCTTCTCAGGTAATAGAGTTAATAAATTCAGATTTGTGTGTACGTTTGTGTATAAATAAATAATTGGCCACTCCATGAAACATTTTTCTGCACTTTGAGATAACAAATTACCATAATGAATAACTGGAATTTTTATCACAAAAAATGGGGACATACTTCATCGTGTTTACACCTTGACACCTGAAATAGCATGATCTCTTTTATAATAGATTGCAACCTTGAGGACGGTCCATGAGCAGCTAGCACGCCTTCTGTCTACTGGTGAGCAACATGAACTCAGGACAGCTGATGCATTCACACATTTCAGAGGACTCAACGCCTTACAATACAACCCCTACACAGAACCTATGTGGAGAGCAGCTGTTACTCAGTATCACAGAGGTAAGCTTAGTACTGCAGAAATATCCTGGTTTTTGAAGACAAAATTCCTTCTTCAGGGTAACAGTTAAAGACATTATGGAATTCACTGGCACTCCTGTTGTATGTTTGATATGATTCAGCCTTTTGAGTTTTTACCTATTTCACATAAGATACAGTGGTGTCTATCAAGACTGTACCGTTCTTTCTCAGGTTATGTATTCATTTTATTTAAATATAATAATGGTTGCCTCCTAGCAATGGCGCCAGCTGAGCAGCGTATTGCAGGCAAGCTACGATCTCAGCTGAGGAATCTTGAGGCAAGCCCCCAGCAATTACTGCGAGAGTTTCTGAAGAACAAAGAGCTGGTGAGCAGGGAGGGTGTACGTAAGGAACTAGTGTCAGAAAGGTGCGTATGCAGTCTCTGTCAACAACATGTGACGTTGATTGGTTAAGAAGAGTTCTAAGATATCTTTTAAGTTTCATTTTTGAACATTTGAAAGACATGAATCCTCGCATGACCACTTCTGGCAGGGTTTATCGTCATTTTTTTTCTTGAGATGTTGGTATGATATTAACTCATTTTTCATTTCTAGAGCTTCTGGAACTGTCCTTGGTTATTGATTCACATTGCCTTTCAGATGATATTTTGGAGAAAATGGTAATTTTTTGCGGAGCATGCTCTGATAATTATCATTTGAGTATTCACAATGGAAAGTTTTTGTATTGTGAACTCTACAGGGAAACTCTTCTGGGTCAGCTCCAGGTCTACCTTAAAACAATCAAAGATGACTTCAACACGCGCATCACTGATACTAGCCCTCCAACTGGCAAAAATCTACCGGAGGTTGTAAACAACATTGTGTGGGTCAGACAGCTAGAAGCAAAGGTATTCTCAACATTTCTAGTCAGTTGCATTTTCCTTCCTGTTCCAGCTTTTAATATGTTACAACTCACAGGAGTCTCTTTTGACTTGACAGGTTGAAGAGACGTCCTCTGTAGCTGAGGCACTCCTGAAGGATCTGTCTGGATTCAGTCGTTTTAGGAGGAGTGCTGGGGACTTGGTGGATGAGTTACGGAATTGGCGGCAGGAGCAGTTTGATAACTGGTCTCGTGAGATGCTGGCAGCTATAGAAGACCCTAAGAAACCTCTCAGGTAATGGCAAAGGCTGCTGCGCATCTGTTGTCTAGAGCTAGGTCTGGGTCTTCACTCCATTGGAAGACATGCAGATGATAGATCTAGCTGTAGGTCTGGAAGCCCATTTCGGACATGGCCTTAGGCTTAGCTATCCCTTATGTTAACATGAAAGACATCAGTGTGTAACCATTTAATCAGTTATCATCTCTGTTATTGAAAAGTCTGATTGCTTGGATTCTCAGTCTGCAGATGAGCGGTCGCCTGATGGAGTTTGATACCAAGAACCAGGAATTGAAAGTGTCTTACAGTGAGCGTCTTGTCACGCTTATACGAGAAGTCAGACAACTACAAGCCTTAGGATACCCAGTGGCTGCCAAGATACAACACACAGCTGCCATTGCTCAGAAGTTCTACAAACACGGAGTTATCCTTAAACAGGTAGACTTGATTCCTGCTGATAGTTAATAATCTTTGTAGAAAACACCATTGAGCATGTCAGGAAATATCACTTATTTATACATTTATGAGAAAACCATTAAAAACCATATGCTTTTAGTAGATAGGTTGTTGTTGATTTACTTGTAATTGAACTGTTGGCTCAATCGTGCTTCAAGTACTGCATTTGAGAAATTTGAAGAAACCTGAGCCGAATTATAGTTTTGTTATTTTGGACTCTAGGTGGCTCACTTCCACAACACCATTGCAGAGCAGATGATACCCAGCCAACGCAACATGATGCTGCAGTCAGCCCTTGCCTTTGAGCGCATGATAAAGAAACCCAAGACAGGAGCCAAGGATGGAGGAGGGGGCAAGGTGCAGATAACATGGGACAATCCTGAGGAACTGGAGGCATATATCGTCAAGTTACGAGCTGCTGCTGAGAAGTTGACCACGGAGAACAGGAGACTTAGGAAGTGGCATTTTACTGTATCAGATAAGGTGCGTTGAAGTCACCTTTGTATAGTGCTTGTTGTGAAAGATACCCTCTTCAGCTGAAATCTGCCATGCATAAAAAAAGGCTGAAGATAAAGGTGTTGAACTAGAGGAAGAACTCTCTCCCATGAAATGTCTGTGCTAAAATACAGACTGACAATAAACCATTTTCAACGTGAAATTGAAACTTCAAATTAAAATTGTTAGTGTGCCACACTGCCTGACCCTTATGCCTCAGTGATAAAAATGTATCTCAGGATGTTGTGTGACGACTATATTTTATCTGTAGTGACCTATTATTCACAATTTCAATTTAGCCTCGTAGCAGAGACGCAGTAGAGTGTATTGTGTGTTAGTTAAGGCTAGATTTCTCGCTGTACCCAGGTGATTCAGCTGATGTCAGTGGACCTGCTCCGCCAGCAGCCTCGCTGGAAGGAAGGTCTACAGGAGATCCGTGGCATTATGAGCACCTTAGAAAACCAGGGATACAAGAGAGAAGACATGAAGAGCTGGAAGATACATTGGGATTGGCAGCTGTATAAAGCCTTAGAGCATCAGTACCAGATGGGGCTGGAAGCATTGAATGAACACTTGCCCGAGATCAAAGTGGATCTCACATTCAGGTAAATGCTTAGGATGAATTCAGACTTGTCTGTTTCCATGGAAGTTTGTGTGAAAAGAAATGACAATGTCATCATTTGAGGTATTATGTGATCAGTCTGTTCAAGTCTGATTCCAATCTGTCACCCTTCAGACAGCAGCGTCTTCAGTTCCGTCCGCCCTTAGAAGAGATCCGAGCTAAATACTACCGTGAGATGAAGAAGTTTATCAGTCTGCCTTACCATTTCCGAGGTTTGGCTGACCCTGGAGATAACGCCATCTTCCCAGTTCTCATTGAGAGGCATGCATCGTCATTCTCCACTGTCTATCAGAAAGCTGAAGACCTCTTCGACAGATTAGCTAATGTCAAGAAAACTTTCAAGGTTAGTGAGTTGCTAAGATTAATTGAATGTGCAGTTCCAAATGGAGAAACTTTGTGCTCTGTGAATCTTTAAGCCTTTTTTTGCATTGGAAAGTTTTAACACACTCATAGTATTCATATTGAAAATGCAGATTGCATGCCCAGTTTTAAGTCTTTGAGGCCGAGCTCGGGCGGCTTGTTCCCGTATGTTCACGAACAGCTCGATTTGTTGTTCGTGAGTCGGCTGCTCGAACGCCAGGAACAAACAACCGGTTATAGCTGGTAGTTAGTGACATGCAACATGGCGGCGTCCATGTAGGCTACGTTATTCGAGAGTTAATGTTTGGATGGGCTGAATTCTTTTCTATATAAACAGGAACATTCATTTCTGTGTAACGGAAAATAATTATGTTAATTTTGCAAAACTTCCCATTGTCTATGGCTTTGGAAGCTATCTCTCTACTTTTTGCAGCTGTTCAAAAATAAAAATCTCACGAGTTTTTCCGTGTGTTCCTGTAAAACCATGACGAGGAGGTGGTGTGTGAATCTGTTCTGAGAACAATGTTCTTGAGTCGTATCAAAAACAGATCGCCCGAACTTGACCTGAGTGATTTACATTAACAGTACAAGTTATTATCAAAGATACACTTCCATAAGTGATCGAAAATGAGAAAAAAAAAACAACCAAAAAACAACCAAAGGAGCCTCTGTTTCCAGGATAATTGCGCCCTCTCTTGGTCACGCTCATTACGGATTTGCATCTTCATATGTTTGATTCTAATTTTGATGATGACCTTGTTGACTTTGACAGGACTGGGTAGTTTTAGGATCAGTTGATTTGGATAAGCTGATAGAAGGCAACCTACATACAGTGGCTGATTGGGAGAGGAACTTCAAATCTCTGAAGGCTAGAGGCAGGGATAGTGAGAAGCTGCCAAGGTGAGTAGACACCCGGGGTAAAGGAAGAAGTGTTTACTTTTGTGTGATCTTTTGTGATCGTTGATCAAATATGCTTGCGTTTACCATTTGTTTGAAAAACATTGGCCAAATGTATTAGCAGAGCTATGTTTGTTCACAAGAGGGAGAATATTTCCTTATGGATGTTGGGTATATGGGTTGAGGGTTCCCATCTGCATTTGTTTCTTCTCTCTAGTCACAGTCTGCATTTAACTAATCTTATCACAGACTTCGTTCCACATTTCCTGTACACCTTAGATATGTTTCCTCTCTTTACTAGCCAAATCAAAGTGGACTGCATCACTGTCTCAGCTGCTCCAGTCAAGACCACCATTGACAGTCTCATCCAGCGCCTCTTTGATGCCCTCTTATCCTCCCTGAGATATTCCATCACTGAACACATCAATGAGATTGACCGCTTCCTCAAAGACTCCATGGAAGCATTGTCTACACGACCACAGACAGTGGAAGAGATAGGGAAGGCCAATGCTAAGCATGCAGAGCTCCAGGCCAAGAAACCAGAAGTATCTCGCATTTTAAAATGATTTCATTTTATTTAATCTGATAATATTCAAATCTTTAATCTTTTCAAATTAATGATAGTGTAATCACTACAGTGCAAAATTTAGATTGTTGAACCAGATTTTAACTTTACTGGCTTTCAAATTGTCTTCTAGAGAGCCGGTTTTGAAACATATACGTTCCATTTTGTCCAATCACATGTACATATATGAATTGCATTTGGTGCCATGAAATTCCATTTCAGGGTAATTTAGTGATAACTGTTGGTGTTTCTTGTCTCTCAGATCAAACCTTTGTTTGAGAAAGTAGAGGGCAAGAATAAACTCCTGCGTACTGTGTCAGGTGGAGGGATAGAACAGCTGAGTCAGTTGCATTCAAGATGGGATAAGTTTGAACTGATGATGGAGAGCCATGAACTCATGGTCAAAGAACAGGTGTGTTCTATTCCCCGTCTTATTTGCTTGGTCTGTAGCATTTGCAGGATGTGTCTTCTGTTTGTAGTCATCCTACTCTTGAGCTTTCTATTCCAGTCTTTAAAAAAGAGGGACATTGACAAAAAATGTTGATAGCCAGAGTTTTGCTTTAGAAATGAACAGAGTTTAGGGGTTTTTATAAAGTGCTGAGTTCATGTCTCTTCATTAGGTAGGCTAATGGAACTTTAGGCATAAACAGGGTGCCACTGTTAGTATTGAGAAGCAAATTTTCCCCGTACCATATTTTTGGTTTGGAAATAAGAGATGAACACTTTTCTCTTGTTCCATCATAGGTAGAGGTTATGAAGAGCAATGTGGAGTCCAGAGTGGAAGCCTTTAGGGCAGATCTTGAGAAGTTTGCTGCTCGCTGGCACCAGTTCAAACCCAAGACAGACATCATTGAGACTGGAGACAGGGAATCATGCTCCAAGGCACTGACCACTGTCAAGGAAAAGAAACAGGAGTTTGAAGAGCTAGAGAAGACTAGGGAAAGTCTAGTGTGAGTTGAACCTCCCTCCCCCAAATGAAATCGTTCACTTGACTGAAACAGGTTTATGAATGGAGGTAATAGGTCAAAACTTTGAGCTACACCTTTTTATTATGGTAAAGAATAATTGATTTTAATGCTGGAAATCAAACTGGGCAGCTTTGCAACACTGCACGTACTTAAAACTTTCCATGGGAACTTTCCATGTTTTTGTATCCTTCTGAATATGTCTGTCAGTGCAAGAGTGTGCTAGTGGGAAGGGTTTACACTGTTTGCGAATATTGGTTCTCATATCTGTGTACTTAGTAACAATGAACATTTCCAACAAAGGCGTAATGTTCCTGTGATTATTTTTGAAGGATATATCCAGAAATTGTTCAGCCCTATGTTTGTAGCTTGAATGTGTACTTAAAGCTGACCGTGTTGTCCATGTTACTTCTGTTCTAGGTTCGATTGCAATCACTTTGGTCTTGATGAGCCTCATTTTGCTGTAGCTGAGGAGCTGAAGGAAGATTTCAAGCAGAATGAAGCAATGTGGGCTCTGTATGATGAATTCAGTAACGGACTCAGAGGACTGGAAGATACAGAATGGATCGTCTTTAGGTTGGCTTATTTGTATCATTCTAGACAAATTAGACTTTGTATCTGTATTGTGTTTAAAAATTAACTTGTTGCCTCATAACTGCGTCGTCTTTGTGGGTGTCTAGTGATGAAAACTTATCTAAGTAGTTTCAAGTATTCACAGAGGAAAACAAATTGCAAAATAGTAACCAAAAACGGTTCTAAAGCACTTTTATGTGGATGCTAGTTTCTTCAGTTGCAAACTTGGAATGTTTGCCTTCACTAATAAATTGTAAAATTTATTTGTTATACAAGTTTATGAAGTAACTCCTCCAATACTTACACTTCCAGGTCTAAGACGTATCAGTTTGATGATTTCTTGGCTCTTTGGGCTGAGAAGCTGCGAGCAGAGGACATGGAACACACCATGATGACTGTCAGACTGACCAAGGATGTGGACAAATACAAGGTGACAAACTTGATTGACATAATAATTTTTCTGCCTTCTCTTATCACAGGTCCTACTCGATAAATGTCACAAATAGGGAACAATGAAAACATTGTTTTTGTTGGCTTGTCTTTGTAGGCAGTTTCACCCATGCTGAAGTACGTTAGCAGTGATGTATACTCACAGGAACATTGGCATGACATGTTCCGCATGCTGAAGATGCCACGCAGCACTACACTGGAGAAGCTTACCTTTGGTGACATCCTGGGAGCAGCTGATCAAATCATTGCTAACAGTCAAGCTCTGAAGGTGAGCATCAAATCCCAAATACCAGCTCTATGTGTAACAATCCTCAGGTGTGCTCTTAATGAGAAGATGTTACAGGTCTGTGCAACCTGTTCATGCTCATTTCCTTGTCTTAAATGGGTGAGCCAAAGAGTACTGTCACAAGACTTTACTGTTTGAGAATCGATAGATGACGTAATAGATGTGTGTGCCGTTCACTGACAGGATTTATTCAACCGAGCCAAGGGGGAGGTGTCAATCCGTGATGCCCTGAGAGAACTGGACCTGTGGGGTGTAGGTGCAACTTTTGTGTTGACTGAATATAAAGACAGCCAGTCAGAGGTCATCATGCTCATCAAAGACTGGAAGGAAATTGTTACAGAGGTCAGTATGGTTCAGCAATGCACTTTGGCATTGGTGCTGTCTTTTATCATTGGTAGCAGTGGCTAGATACCCCTATGTTTGATTTGGATTAGCTGTTGACCCCAGAACGTGTAATGGTGAAGTGGTTAAAACATCTCCATTGTAAGAATTTGATTTCAAGCTAAGCAATGTGATTTTTCTTTTTAAAGACTTGAGCTCCACATTTCTTTTTCAACCCTTTCAAGTATTATCCCATTCCAAAGTGTTATCTTTTGACAGAAGTATGCTTGAGGCTCGAATCTCTGAAATTGTCTCTGTTTTCCTTGTAGGTTGGAGACAACCAGAGCCTTCTGCAGTCTCTCAAGGATTCTCCTTACTACAAGGGCTTTGCTGACAAGGCCACCATTTGGGAGCAGAGACTGGCTGATCTGGACGAGTTCCTTCACAACTTGAATCAAATCCAGCGCAAGTGGGTCTATCTGGAACCCATCTTTGGCCGAGGGGCTTTGCCCAAGGAACAGGGACGTTTCAAGAGGGTTGATGATGATTTCAGGTGAAACGAAAGTTGGGACAACAATTTACTTTTAGTGTTTTACCTGGAAATTTATGCTGCCTATGTATATTTACAAAATTAGAGAGATGCTTATTTTAATTGATCTTGCTTAACCCTAACAGTCCTCAGTCCTCCAACAGGTGAAGGATTGAGGAGGGTTAGGGTTAAAGAACAATTTTCACCACTCAGAATCTGGCTGTTTGATATTAATTGCTGAATAGAGCTTAATTTAGATACGTAACAACTTGATCAAAATGATCATTGATTGGAATTAATGAGTTTTCCAAAGCTTACTGTATTGCACGTGATTTGTTCCCTCACAGGAATATCATGATGGATGTTGCTCGTGATAATAGAGTGTTGTCCCTAGTGGGTAGACCAGGATTGAGGAATACCTTGGTGGCTCTTCTAGATCAGCTGCAAAGATGCCAGAAAGCTCTCAATGAATTCTTGGAGGTAAAGGGACCAGCCCTCCAGATAAAACTCGGCAAATGTTATCTTGCATAGTGGATGTGATTTTTCCTCAAGGATACATGTTGTGGATTTATTCTCATACATATTCTGCACATGTTTATGATAGTTTCCAACAAAATTAAGTGAAACTCACCGAAAAGGATTGTTAACAAACAAAGAATTTTGAGGTCTCTTTGGTTTCAAACAAACTTATTTCACATGATAGAGTTTAAGTTTTTATGTTTACGGTTCACTTAGTTGGAAATTGAGTTGAGGTACATTTTGTATTTTGAATACTCCCAACATTTCCGCCCAAATTGTTGGCTCATTCTTTTTTGTCTCCTCTCAGGAGAAACGTTCCATCTTCCCCCGCTTCTACTTTATCGGGGATGATGATCTGCTGGAGATCCTTGGCCAATCCACTAACCCAGTGGTCATCCAGACACATCTCAAGAAGCTATTTGCAGGCATTCACAGCGTGGAATTTGATGAAGGAAATAAGAACATCTTGGCCATGAAATCTTTGGAAGGAGAGGTGGTACCCCTCAAGAGCCCTGTGCAAATAACGGCCGATGTAGAGGTTAGTTCAGTCACAGTGTTTTGTATTATGCAAAATACCCTGAGCGGTTTAGATCTATGACCTTCCATTCCCAACCCAGCTGAAGTTGCCAGAAAAACATCTTAGTTCTTAGGTTTTACTGATGAATATCTTTTATTTCCAAAAAATAAGATTTCAAACCCAAAGTACCTACTTCAGCCAGGTTTTGATGCGGGACGTGTATGTTGCCAAATAAAAAAATTATAAATGTTTGTTTTATATCTCAACAAGTTATGACACTTTTCCAGTATTATTTGAAATGGCTCAAGATGTCATTGAAATTACTTCCCCTGAATCTTTTTGAGATGGTATGGTTTGGATTTAAGTCATGAATGCAGTACTTTGGGTATTTAAGCCTAAATATATCACCTGAATTGTTTGTTTGTTTTGAGGTCTGGTTGGGTGAGCTTGCTCGTGAAATGAAGGAGACTTTACAGCAGTTACTGGTGGAATGTCTTCGGGCTCAAAAAGGTGGTCATGGACAAGGGGTCGACCCCAACAAGTTCCCCTCACAGGTAGGTCGTGATAGGGTGCAGGGCTCATAATAAGCCAGAGGAATATAATTAGTTCAGTGAAAATATTGTTTTGACCGTCTCAACCTGGAATGGACACAGTTCTTTTCAAAACAGGTTGAAACAGGAGTCATCATTTTTTATTGCAGGCTGTTACAACAAATGAATAATTCAAGACATTACAGTGATGAGGCATTGGTATCAAGTTGCTGTTTTTCTTTGTAATAATCTCTAAGAAGCAGACTAGGGTCTTTTGCACAGTTTGACTCATGCACTCTACGTGTTGTCAAGAGACTAATCCAACATACTCTATATGATTGATTGATTGGAATGGAAGGGTCAGACTAGTGGGATATGAGTACAGGATAAACTAACTTTGGGGATCTTGCTGTGAAATTTAAGTCTCAAAATAGTGCTTTTCAAACACTGATTTGTATAAAATGATGAATTTTTTCCCTGTTTAGATCTTGTGTTTGGCCAATGAGATTCAGTTCACTGAGCAATGTGAGTCAGCCATGAAGGAGAACAGCCTGCAGGAATATCTGATAGAGTTAGAAGCCCAGCTGGAAGGCTATACATCTGTGGATATACAAGGAAATGGAGAGAATGACCAAGCTATGCATGTACTGGAGCTCAAACTCAAGGTGGGAATTGGGCTCTGATATCCAGAGGTTTGGGAACCCCCTTTCAGCTCCCTGTAGCATTTATCTGTTCACAGCCAGCAGCAGGTGGTGTTGTCCTTTTTCACGCAGTGAGGGATGTGTTTGGGGAAGTCCTTCAAGATGGCACTAGTTACTAACAGCACATTGATATTGAAACTCTTCATAGCCCTTTTAATGACAACAGAATGCTGCCCTTCAGTGCACTATTTGTTGCCGAGTTCCTCTTCTGTCTATTTTATTGCAACCCCTCCTCAGTTTTATAGATTTCTCACTCCTTCTTTGTTTTATCTTTTTACACCTCTCGTGCCTTACTTCATGCTCCTGTTATTTTGGTCTTGACAGGCACTGATCTTGGACAATATCCACTTCATTGATGTGGTGCAACAGCTGATGAAAGACAACATCCTGAGCATGGAGGAGTGGATGTGGCAGAAACAGCTGAGGTTCTATCAAGCTGATAAAGGGAAGGCTATCATGAGAATGGTAGATGCAGAGTTCCAATACACATTTGAATATCAAGGTAAGCGGTCAGTTTTAACCCTAACACTCCTCAGTCCTCCAACAGGTGAAGGATTGAGGAGGGTTAGGGTTAATCGGTAATAGATAACAAGATCTTCTCTTAAAAGTCTCACAAATAGGCCAAATTTTTTTCCACACTTGACAAATTTGAAATAATGAGTTTTTCAGACGATGTTTGCTTTATCCCTGGTCTGGTCCTCCAATCAAAGAAAATAAAGTCTTAGATTCGTTGCATTGTTCTACAAAACAGAAATAGACCAATGTGTATACGTTGTGAGTACCATGAATGAATATCAGCATTGCTTAGATCAAATCATGATTGTCTATTCCATTACGAATCATTTTGACTGAGTTTGTGCGTTTGCGTTACCCTCAGGCAATGCTGCCAAGTTGGTCCACACCCCTCTGACTGACAAGTGTTACCTAACCCTGACCCAAGGCATGCACATGGGTATGGGAGGTAATCCTTATGGCCCAGCGGGTACAGGCAAGACAGAATCTGTCAAAGCCCTTGGAGGCTTGTTTGGAAGACAGGTACTAGTCTTCAACTGTGATGAGGTAAGGCATATTGGAAGTGAAGGCGTTAACACTGATCAAGTTGCAGTAGGAGCCCCAGAGAACTTTCCTGGATCGGCATACATGTTCCCACCATACTTGTTTTAGAAAGTGCATCTTGGACGGAGTCCAAGATATTAAAACCATTTTTTCATTTGATTTGGATGGAGAGAAGTAATTTAAACTAAATAACTTGAATTTAAGTACCTAGGCATTCTTTATCCATTGATCAATTTCAAAGTCTCACTTACAGCCTGTTTGAAAAAATGTATTATTGCTAAACAACGATACACTTCATATGTTAAATTTTCACTTTGTGACACATTTTCCCAAGTTGATGGTAGATTTATTTCCACAATTGTTTCTTCCTGCTAGGGTATTGATGTCAAGTCCATGGGTCGCATCTTCATTGGTCTGGTCAAGTGTGGAGCCTGGGGTTGTTTTGATGAATTCAATCGTCTTGAGGAGGCGGTATTGTCTGCTGTGTCCATGCAAATCCAGACAATCCAGGCTGCATTGAAGAGCAAGAAGGCAAACTGTGAACTGCTGGATAGAACGGTAGGAGATTGATCAGTCCTAATTGAGGCTAGGTTTTTGCAGTATTATTACATTATGTTATCTCTGTGGTCCAGTTCAGATCCCAACTGGGACAATGTCACCAGTCTCTTGTTTAAACAATTCATCATTCTTTTTGCAAATGTTTTTCTAAACTTCTAAAGTATAGTGCTGCAATAACCTTTGAGAACTCTCCAATTTCAGGTGAAATATGTCATTAGCTTTGGAGTTTCCGTGGCTGTGTTATTGCATGAAAAGGCTCACTTGACATGAACTTTTGTCCACAGATTGACATTGACCCCAATTCCGGCATCTTCATCACCCTCAACCCAGCTGGCAAAGGTTACGGTGGTCGTCAGAAGCTACCAGATAATCTCAAGCAGCTTTTCCGGCCTGTGGCCATGTCTCGGCCTGACAATGAACAGATTGCTGAGGTTATTCTCTTCTCTGAAGGCTTCAAGGATGGCAAGAGTCTGGGTCGCAAGCTGGTAGCCATCTTCAACCTCTCGAAGTAAGTTTCTTAGGAGTTGGTGAAAATGTTATAGCACTGAGGTTGGGCAGAATCCATGAGCCCCGTAGGAAAGCATACATGTAAACAAAGCCTGATGTCATTATGTTAAAGTACTATTAAGAACTTTCAAAGCCCGTCAAAATTACTTTGTTGACCAGCATGCAGCACTTATCTAGAATTTAAAGTAAGGTCAATTTAGTCCAATTTTTAATTTGAATTTCATTTCCTTTAAATAAGGGTTCTGGATTTTTGAAAAGAGAGACTTTTGAACAGTAACAAATTATAAGAGGGCATGCTACACTTGTGATTGTGAAAAAAATTGGACAAAGTGACCCTCTTTCTTCCTGAGAAGAAACAAAAAGCTTGGATTAAATGTTAGACTTGCCTGAGTGATCAAGACTTGTTTGCAATATTCATTTGGCAGGGAGTTACTGACCCCTCAGCAGCATTATGACTGGGGTCTGAGAGCTCTCAAGACGGTACTCAGAGGATCAGGTAACCTGTTACAGATTGCAAGACGACAACAAGCCAATGGCAATACCAACAGTAAGTTATCTCTTCTCGACACCTAGCTATATCAAGTTACTGGATGATATAATGAAATTTCAAAATCATTTCATCTGTTTCAAAAACAGGCTTACCTCAAAGTATCCAACTGCGTTAAGAACTTTATAACACTGACCTCGGAAGGAATGCTTTGAAAACAAATAATAATTGAAATAATCTGGCTTTGTTGCAGGCAAGATTGACGAGAGCAAGCTGGTGGTCCAAGCCCTGCGTGTGAACACCTTATCCAAGCTAACCTTCTCAGACAGCAGTCGCTTTGATGCCTTGGTCAAGGATGTCTTCCCTGGTGTTGAACTGAAGGACATTGAGTATGAGAGACTTGCTCAGAGTCTACGTGAAATCTGCAAGGAGTCGAACCTAGTCATCATGGAAACACAGGTATTGGAACCTCTTATTTTGGGGTTGGTTTGTATGGAGATAGGTCATCACTTTAAAGCCAGTTTTTGTGAAAGCTGTTGCATTTTTTCAAAGTATTTGTATTCAGCTCTTTTCTGTAGAGCTCCCAACCGGCCAGTAAACCTTTGCTACCTCAACACTGACGATGTTACCACACAATCTATTTTTTTCGCATTCAGACTCATCAAAAACCAAATAAAAATACACATCTGTAATGTCACATCTTTCCTTAATGATTATTCGTGTATACATAACTATGAGAGATGTTTCTTTTTTGTCATAGATCAAGAAGGCGTTGGAGTTGTATGAACAGCTTCGCCAGCGTATGGGCGTAGTCATTGTTGGACCCAGTGGCTCAGGCAAATCTACAACCTGGCAACTGTTGAGATCGGGATTGAACAAGACAGGACAGGTGGTAAAACAGTACACCATGAACCCCAAGGCTATGCCGAGGACACAGGTAAAATACATGCAGGTTTCTAGCAATTATGATCTGTGTACCAATTGTTACTTATTTATCCCCACATCTGGGGCAGCATGTCTAGAGTATTTAACTTGTTTGATATTCATTGTTACTACAGTTGCTTGGTCAGATTGACATGGACACCAGGGAGTGGTCAGATGGTGTGTTGACATACAGCGCTAGACAGGTGGTCAGAGAACCCATTGGTGAGTTGTTATTGGCTGCTGAAAGTCAATATTCATAGCATTAAATTTATGCCTTAGTTTTCACCCATTTTCAGAAAACAGTAAACAAATGAGGTAGAATCGACATAGCCAGAGGTAGGAAGAATGAAGAACTTGTGATTATTCCCCTGTCTGTCTTTCTCAGAGATTCAGTCTTGGATCATCTGTGATGGTGACATTGATCCTGAATGGATTGAATCTCTCAACTCTGTCCTGGACGATAACCGTCTGCTGACCATGCCCTCTGGAGAGAGGATCCAGTTTGGACCTAACGTCAACTTCCTGTTTGAGACTCATGATTTGAGCTGTGCCTCCCCTGCTACCATCTCACGTATGGGAATGATCTTCATGAGGTAAGTGTGACTGAGACTAAGACTTCTCGTTGTTTCATCAGGAGACAACTGCAGAACCTTTAACCAAAGATCATTGCTGAAAACAACTAAACTGTACAGCCTGTCAAAGATATTGACCAATCTGTGATTGCGATAGAGGAAACAACTGAACTGTACAGCCTGTCAAAGATATTGACCAATCTGTGATTGCGATAGAGGAAACAACTAAACTGTACAGCCTGTCAAAGATATTGACCAATCTGTGATTGCGATAGAGGAAACAACTAAACTGTACAGCCTGTCAAAGATATTGACCAATCTGTGATTGCGATAGAGGACTAATACCTTCTTGATGCAATAAAGTGAAGGGAGTAGGTTCTTATCCCTTGTGGTCAGTATATCACTACATTTAAGTATCATTTTACCAGATAAATACAACAGTTTACAAATCAGGCATACAAAATTGTTCTTCTGTATAGTTTGTGAAACATGCGTAGATATTATGAATCGTGCTTTATTGAATAGCTTTAGAGGAATGAAGTGAAGAATACAAGTGGAAAGTTGTGCAGATTGCCTAACCTGCCATTTCTTCTTCACACTGACCTTTACTTATTGTAGGTTCTCAAACTTACATACCTGAAACCCAGTTGAACACCTCACATTCTCTGTTTTATTGAGTGATAGGCATAACCACCTCTGATATATCATTTATGCAGTGACGAAGATACCCAGATCAAAGATCTTGTAGAGTCATGGCTGAACAAACTGCCACAGGAGCGTCGCTCTTCTCTCCATGGCTGGATTGATAAGTACTTCTACAAGGCCTTAGAGTGGGTCTTGGCGAGAACCAATGACTTTGTGGTGGAAACCAGTCAAGTGGGTGTGGTTATGAATGGACTGTCCCATCTGTGGGGGGCTCAAGATGAAGCTGACTTTGCCATCTGTTTGATCAGAGGCCTGGGAGGGAACTTGAAGGAAACCACCAGGCAGAATTTTGCCAAGGAGGTTTGTATATCACCATACCTTTTCAAGAGTTGCGATGATATTTCTTAAATAAGCTTTGCTCCTCAAATCCAAATTTCAGTTTTCTGTAACCATAAATTGCAAGTTGCAGATAATTCATTTTCCCTTTTCATATTCTATTTCTGCAGGTGTTTCACTGGGCTCGTGAGAATCCTCCGGACCCACGCAGACCTCTGGACACATATTACGATGCTGGCAGTAGACGATTCATGAACTACGTTGTGGAGGTAAATGTCACAGTCCCTGTCAGAGAAGAAAAAAATTGTGCCAACTGTAGCAAAATAGCGTACCAACCTTCAGGGTTAACCACCCAGACATATTCCATGCTGTGTGGATGTATACCAGGAGTGTAGAGATCTAAAACCAGAGATGTTTATATGAGAAGGTATCTGTACATTTCTTATCAGGACAATGATGACCTTACAGCAACTGATTTCAACAAGCCCAACTCTCTCCCTGTCATCCGAACTGCTAACGTCCAGCTGTGTCTTGATTACTTTGCTCCGTGGCTGGACCCAGATCACAGACAGCCATTCATCCTGGTTGGACCTGATGGATGCGGAAAGGGGTAGGTCTCACTAATTCACTTTTAATTTAACCCTAAAAGAGCCGGGGGGTGGGGAGGTTGACATGCCCCCAGCAGATGGTCCCAAATAATCTGGCTCTTTAAGGGTTAAGAAATACAGGTGTGTTGAATTGCCAATTTGAATTGACTGTCGTATGTATTTTCCAATTTGCAGCATGATTCTACGGCATTGTTTTGCCAACCTGCGTTCCACCCAGATAGCTACCATTCACTGCAGTGCCCAGACTTCCCCTACTCATGTCCTGCAGAAGCTACAGCAGACATGCATGGTGCTTAGTACCAACACTGGCCGTGTCTATCGACCCAAGGATTGTGAGACATTGGTCCTGTACCTCAAGGATCTCAACCTACCTAAGCCGGACAAGTGGGGGACATGTCAGCTCATTGCATTTTTGCAGCAGGTGGGTGGAAGATTGTCATGCCCAAAGAATGGAGATGTGAATCCAGTGCTTTCAATCAAGAGCATTGCTTCACTCAATTTGCTGCTGATTTTTTCCTACCCTTCTTTCTGTAGGTGTTAACCTACAGGGGCTTCTATGACACCAACCTTGAGTGGGTCGGATTGGAAGGTGTACAGATTGTTGCTAGTATGAACGCCGCACACACCGTAGGACGCCATCAGCTGACTTCACGATTCACATCCATTGTTCGCATATGCTCCATTGGGTAAAAAGAATTTCCTTTTAAATCTCTAGATCCTAAACTATTCATGTGAATAAGCAGTCAAAATGGCAAGAAACATCATGTTGCCGTAGTACTAGAAGGCTTTTATAAAGTGGTTCAGCATCTCCATCTTTGAAAGATGGCTTTAAAATATCTGTTGGCAATGGGCCAAATTTATGTAGCACTTCGAAATAATTGTCTTAAATCTAAGTGTTTTGTTCAACCTAGACCAATAAATTAGGCATAACATTGTCTTTCAGTGCATAGACATAGCAATCAAATTTCTTGCCCTATTGCACCTTGTACACACCTGTTACTTCCATCGTTCCATTCTTAGTTATGCTGATCAGGATCAATTACAAGCCATCTACAGTACTTACCTGAAGGCTGTCATTCATACTCGCCTGCCATCACATCCTGTCTGGGGCTCGGTCTCCAAAATTAGTCAGCTGGCTCGCTCCATGCTCCAAGTCTATGAACAGGTAGGTTCCTTGCAAGACAAGCATTCTACTTCAAGTCCCAACAAGTACATCAAGTGGAGGGAATCTACTCTTTCAGAACAGCGACAGATAATATGTGAGAATTGATCCCAGAATGCATGGTATCTCTGTATTTGCAGACACGTGCTAAGTTCTCCATTGATGAGCACAGCCACTACCTATTCACCCCTCGTGATCTGACTCAGTGGGTCCTTGGTCTCCTACGCTACGACTTCCATTCCTCATCCTCGGACAGCACCAGTGATCAAGTCCTGGAGGTCTGGGCTTATGAGGCAGCCCGTCTGTTCAGAGACAAACTAGTCAGTGAAGAGGGAAGGAGTCGCTTTGATTCCATCCTACTCGGTGCCCTTCAGTCAGATTGGAATGCTGGTCATATCTTGCAGAGCATGTCTGGTAGGTGTACCTTGTGCATTTGCACATTTGCAAATAAGTCAACAACTTTTTGTAGACATGGAATAAATGTCATTGAGATGCAAAGAGCAGAATGGATTCACTTGGCAAAAGTAGGAATCCCAATTATTGATCAAAACTATGTATGATTGGTTGTTTTTTGTTCAGGTGTGTACTATGTAACATGGGGAGCCAGGGCAGAAGCAGGGGCAGCTGGGGGTCCGTTACCACCAGTGGGGAAATCATTGGGCAAACTCAGCTCATCTGACCTCAAAGAGGTCATCAAGAGGGCAAAGGTCACCTATGGTAAGTTTCAAATTGCTTCCCTCTGAAGATCATTTATTAAACTGCCGATTTCATTCCTGCTGCTTACCCTGCTTTTTTAAAATAAATTTCTTTGCCAACCAAAGCACAGAAATTTGCTTAAAAGTAAGCGTATTTCATGGTGAACATCTCATGGTTGCTGTGCTTAGCACAAAAATTGCATTGGCTCGTATAGAAATTTCTGTTGTTACATCAATAGTTTAAGTAAATTTTCCCTCTGACGTAGATGTGCCTTCTGCTGTGCTTACTGCTTATGATCTCCATGAAATATTTGGAGTCTCTCTTAGCGTAAAATTCATGAAAGTGGGCCTTCCTCTGAGCTTTTCAGCTGCATTGCAGAGATCAAATTGAAAGTTACAATATAAGGCATGTGGACTAGTGGTCCCACAAACATAGGGTCAGGGGTCAGTGTTGTGACTTTGGGGAGTCATTTTACTCACACCTACTTCTCTCCATCCAGGAATCCAAAGGGGTACCTGAGAGGGCAGAGATGATTTTTTCATTGAAGTGGCCATTTGTGCTTCATACTCCCCAGGGATCATAGGAGGTTTCAAGGAATGTTTGTGGCCCCCTGAGTGGGCAGAGTGATAATAAGAGCCCGCTTTCCTCTTGTAATTTTGGTACTTATATGGTCATCATTATTATCGTCATCAGTTGTTTTTTCCTTGTCCTCTCAGCTCGTGAAAATCGTGACATAAACATCCAGATATTCCGTGAGGTCTTGGAGTACGTAGCCCATGTTGACCGTGTCCTGTCTCAGCCTGGTGGTTCGCTGCTCATGGCTGGTTGTAGTGGGGTGGGGCGTCGCACTGCCGTCACCCTAGTTACTCACTGTCATCGTATGGAACTATTCACTCCTAAGATGTCTAGAAACTACAGCATGAAGCAGTTCAAGAATGATCTTAAAGGGGTAGGTTTGAGTCTGTCGGACAATGACAAGTTTCTAAACTGGTAGTTTAAGTATCATTGAATTTATGATATTCATTGAATTCTGTGTACTTTTAATTTATAAGCCAGGTGTAAGACTACATATAAAAACCGAAATACCACAGTTGCAACTGTAAATATGATGTGATTTGTTGATTTATGAATCATTTCCTGGATGATTTTTGTGATTCTGTTGTATTTCCCAGTTAAAAGTATTTGGAATTGGAACGCAAGAAGGCAATAATTACCACCCATGTGATAATTTGTTCAATTATAAAAATGTTTTCAGTGCGAAAGATAGATGAATAGCTTTACAACTGCTGTGATGTGCAAGGCCTACTCAGAGTTTGTTTACCAACTGTAATCAAGTTTTCAAGCTGCTTTTTTTTCTGAATCTTTCTTATATAAAATGGAAGTGTTGTGTTTACCTTCTGGTTGTATATGTAAACCAGAAAAGAGCCGAACAGTCTTTGTTTGTATTTGAAATCTGTTGATTTTTTGTTATGCGTGTTATCTCTCTGTATTTGTAATCCAGGTGATGCAGTTAGCAGGTGTTGAAGGCCAACAGGTAGCCCTTCTCCTGGAGGACCATCACTTCAGCCATCCTCAGTTCCTAGAACTCATCAACAGCCTGCTATCAGCTGGAGAGATTCCTGGATTGTACTCACCAGAGGAGCTTGAACCTCTCCTGGCTCCAATCAGAGACCAGGCCTCCGATGAAGGATTCAGGGGAACACTAGCCAGCTACTTTGCATCACGTAAGTTATTTGTATGAATCATATAGTTTTGTACAAATTCCCATGACTCCTGTAAGGGGTTAAGCCTTGAGAAACTGAGTTTATCCCTTGGATTATTTAAGAACAAGCTCTTATTCTTTTTGATACCACATCTGTGATGGCACCTGGTGAAGTGTCATGACTCACTGAAAATGTTGCAACAATTAATTTTGCACCAATGTTTGGCATTTCTGTACATCAACATATCACCTGACCTTGTGTTCAGATTGGTGTGCATTTCTATGCTGTGACTGATTTTTTGGTGACAAATATGCAAGTTTTAAGCTTCCTTCAAATTCCCCTTGTCAGGAATTCTCATCAACCTTCACATTATACTGATCATGGACTGCAAGAACTCTTCTTTCACCATGAATTGTCAGAGCAACCCAGCTCTGTACAAGAAATGTTCTGTGCAGTGGATGGAAGGTTGGAGCAAGGACAGTATGAGGGAGGTAGGTCTGTCCTCAACTTTCTTAAAGCTTGTTATCTTCCCGTCCTGCACCGCTTCCACTTTTGTTCTTAGGATTAAAGTTATCTCTTCATAATTAATTGTCTTCCAAAAAGTTCCATTAGACCTATTGCCATTTCTGTGTTAGCTGTGTGCCGTAGACAACTCTATGGCATTCCTATCTTGAGTTTTGTTTGTTCCTTTTCATTTTTGTATATCACGCTATTGGACAATGTTTCATTAGCTGCATAGATATGATTCTATCATGATAGGTCAATTTTTTTTACATTTCCACAAAATGCAAAAGGAAAAATTGGCCAACTTTCCTCAAGTGTTTCCAAGTATTTGACATTTCCCACCAAATGCAAATCAAATTGAGCCAAGCCTTTAAATATGACGTCTGAATTAAAACATGCTGGTTCTTTTTTGTTTCGGGTTGCTATTCACATTTCAATGTAAAGCGTGCTTTTTTTTGTGTTAAAAAAATACCAATGTTTTCTGTTCTGTAGTTACCCAAGATGCTTCTGAGAAGTCATCCTTCCGACAGTGATAAGAAAGATAAAGGCAAAGAGAGCAAGCGTCATCGCAAGTTGTCAGGCGGGGATGACCTCATCAAATCATTCCTACAGATCCATAGATCGGCATCACAGCATGACTCCACACCACGTCGTTATGTGACCTTCTTGCATACCTACATGTCAGTGTATCAGAAGAAGAAAGCTGGGGTGGAACTCAGACAGAAGCACTTGAAGGTTAGGCCATGTCCTAAACAAGGTTCCTGAGCTGCCATTTTGTCTGTTGTTAGTACATGTCCACGTATTTCCAGTACCTAGACCTAGCTCTAGACAACAGATTTAGATGCAGGCTAAGTCAGCAACTACCTGGTGGAAGGAACTCTGTCCAGTTCTGTAGCTACGGTGGATATTATTCAAGCATGCTTTTATGTGGAAATCAAATATTACCAGCATTTTATCTTGAGAATAATTTAGTAGCTACACGTAGTAACCTAAGACACGTGGCTGAAAACTCCTTACAGGAGGCTCTTGAAGTGTTACATATTCGTAGTGTTTTCATGTATAGATTTTTGTCACTTTATTTTGACCGATAGGTCTGTGTTGATTTTTTAACCCCAAGGCTGGTGTGTCAAAACTGAATGAGGCCAAAGCACTCGTTGCTGAGCTGAATAGAAAGGCAGCCGAGCAGAGCGTCACGTTGGCTGAGAAACAGAGAGAAGCTGATGAGGCACTCAAGAAGATCCAGACAAGTATGGAGGTAAAAGAACGCTTGAAATATTTCCAAGTTGTAAACGAAATATGTGCCGAATTGAGGTTCAGACCTGGAAATCCAGATTTAATATTGTTAATCCTGTTTTCAAATTGATACCTGATTCTTCTCAGTAATTGTTCAGTTTTGCTACTCATCTTCTTTACCTGTCAGAATGCTGGAAAGCAGAGGCAGGAAATTGAGATCCTCAAACAGCAAGCTGATGAGGAGAACCAGAAACTGGACAAACGTAAACGCAGCATCGATTTGGAGCTGGCTGAGATTGAACCTCAAGTGCAAGCAGCCAAGTCGGCCGTTGGTAGCATCAAACCAGAGAGTCTGAGTGAGATACGAGCATTGAGAGCACCGCCGAATGTCATCCGAGACATCCTAGAGGGAGTCTTGAGACTCATGGGAATCTTTGATACATCCTGGGTCAGCATGAAAAGGTAACTCTGAGTTGTGTTTCTCATCAGTCAATTCATTTCAGTTTCTTTGTGATGATGGTTAAACACGGAAACATTGGTTTCTGTCTTGTATTCATATTTTACTGTAGCTATTTTTTCAGTGTTAATTTGGTGCATGATCTGTGAGACAATTACGCAATATGAATTGTCTGATTAGTCCATCCTTCTCTTCTCTCCCAAAATCCTTGAATTCTTATTGTATGTTTAATTGAATGTTTTCTCTTGACGCAGCTTTCTGGCCAAGCGTGGCATCAAGGAGGACATTGCTAACTTCAACGCCCGTAATATTTCAGCTGAAATCAGAGCAGGGGTGGAGGAACTTCTGGATAGAAACTCAGCCTCCTTTGACCCTCATGTAAGACAAGACACGAATTGCTTCATGTTAATTGAAGGACTAATTTGGGGAGGTCAGTCTTGGCAACAAGAGCAGGGGGGTTTTACTCTTTGGAAAAATTCAGTAACAACTTCATCTTCATATTCTTGAATGCCTGAAAGAACCATGCTCTCTTCCCAGTGTTTCCAAATGGCTCAGAATCATGACCACCGGTTCTTTTCTGGGCTGTCTGACCAAATTCCAACTGTGATCATCGTTGATGTTAGTTTGGCCAATTTGTTTATGTCAGAATGTCCTAGAGACCTGATGCTAGTAATGTTGCTGTCATTGTTTGTTAGAATGCCAAGAGAGCTAGTGTTGCTGCTGCACCATTGGCTCAATGGGTGAAAGCCAATGTCATGTATTCACATGCACTGGAGAAAATAGGCCCTCTGGAAGCTGAACAGAACCATCTCAAAAAGTAAGTTGTTACTTCAAGACATTCTTCATTTATTTATCAGTTTCACGTGATGGGACACCCTCAGAAGACAAGTTAGCAGTCCATCATTGAAAACGTTAACACACAAGAACATTTCAAAATTGCCCATGCCTGCTCACATTTGTAGTCTCTTAAAGGATATGAAAATTCATCTTATGGCCCCAGTTCAGATTTTGTAATAAATGTTTCCTTTAAAACAGACTTGTTTATTGAATGCCCAATATGTTTGCAAACTTGGAAGAATGGTCATTTGGAAACAGTATAAGGAATTTACTCAGGAGTTGGATCAATATCCTGCTGATGAGTAATGTACCCCACAGACTAACTCCAGAAAAATCTGTCTTTTTCAGGAATCTTCAGAAAGCCATGGCTAAGATGGAGAAGCTTCAGAAAGGACTGGAGGACGTTGACCGACGTGTGGAGGAATACAAGAGGAAATTCCAGAAGTTGAATGAGGAAGCGACCAAGCTAAAACTGGAATTAGAGAAAGAGCAAGAAACCATCCAAACAGCTGAGAATCTCATTGGTAAACTGGACGGGGAATACCAGAGGTGGAGTACACAGGTAAGTAGACTCTCAGACTTCATGGTCTCAGTAACAGTGTTTAATACTGGTGAACTAGATATCCACTAGAGATTTTGTGTGGTCAGATGCTTACGGTAAGGGTAATTTAGAGATTATAATCCCCTGTTACATAAGTGCAGAAAGTTTTCTTCCAAAATATCCTCGGATACAGTCAGTGTTTTCCTTTTGGAAAAAACAAACTAACCTTAACTTCCAGAGTTTGATATAATATTTTGTATAATGCACATGAAAGGCGTTTGTATTTCTGAACCAGAAAGACTTGTTTTAGACAGACCAAATTTATACTTGATACTCTACTTAGCTTTATGTAGTTTCTAGCTAGAATTCCCTTTCCTATCCTGAATTTTTCATTCCAGTCTTACTGCCGACTTGGCCATGCTGGCTTGAAGTTTTAAAAAGAGTTTTACATCAAATCAAGATTTGCATGCTTTCTTGTCCAAGGTGACGGAGCTGCAGACAGACCTAGAAACACTTCCCAAGAAGGCTCAGATTGCAGCCGGCTTCATCACCTATCTGTCCTCAGCTCCCGAGGATGAACGGCGTGCTAAGCTCAACTCCTGGGCAGAGCTAGCCGGGTTGGAGAAGTTTGATATGAGACGATTCCTGAGCACAGAGAGTGAACAGTTGATCTGGAAAGGGGAGGGGTTGCCTAGCGATGATCTCTCCATGGAGAATGCTGTGGTTATCTTACAGGTTGGTCATTCTGGGTTGTCAGGATTGGGTTTCTTACATGTCGGTTTATGTTGTAATATTTGATATGATTTTTCCAGTTCAATTAAAACTTGATTTTTCTTTTTAGAAAAAATTTATTTCTAAGGATTTATGTTATATTTGGCAGATATTTCACTGTGCCTTTAACATTGTTATTTGAACCATTGATAAATGATGATACCAAAGTGACACTTTGAGAAGCTGCGGCGATGTACCATGCTTGCAGTTTCTTAGTTGAATTTGCTCACTGATACTTTAATTCAATTTTTTACTGAACAATAAAGTTTTGTTTCAAAGTTTAATGGTAATGATGTAATGCTTTTTCTTGCATTTTCAAACCATGCATATTTAATTGTTTATCTAATACAAACCTGCGTTGTCTTTGAATCATTTAATTCAGTCATTGATGGATCAAGCAGTATTGTTTATTTCCATTGTTACCTGTTCACTCGCCCCAATCCTTTGCATGTTACCCATATTGATTCCATGGCTGCTCATTGCTTACCTTGCTTTTGTCAATACCACCACCTACCTTGGAATGCTGCCCCTAATGTTGATGATGTTACCGACCAACAAAGATTAACAACCTGCCTGTTGCGGTAAGATAATTGATTTGCAATCACCATCATTACTTGCTTGCTTACCTCACTTAACTTCTTTTTGTGGCTGTTTTTCTTGCACCCTTCCATTATGCTACTTTGTTTCTATTCTAGCTTAATTTCTCATCCAACTTTAACCTTTTGGTGATTTTAACATTAGTATTTTAGTTGTAGTTGGAACAAACTGTGAGTTCCAAAGGAATTGGCACCAGTATAAAGTCGCTGTTACTCTGTGATGGATTGAAATGACGAGTTGTGATATCCATCCCATTATCTTTTGTACGGCTTCAGTTGATAGCATGGATTTTGTGGTATGAATTTAAACCCAAGATTGTTTGCTTCTCAAGGTTTGGCTGATTCTTGCTTAGCTGATTAGAATTAATAATCCTAAACTGTGTCATAAAAATAGTTAAAATCTGAGATGCTGTTTTTATTTTACATGTGTGGAAAAGACTTGTAAAGACATGTGAATGTCAAACTTGCTTGTGAGCTTCAATGTGTTTAATGTAGACATGTGATTCATAGATTAGATATGAAAATGGTGATGCATCTTCATGAAAACATTGGCAATGGGCACTGTCTTTGACATGCAGTAGGTCTATCTTGATGGCTAATAGAGCCATGTGATCGTGTTTTATTCCTTGGAACACTGAGATGGGAGTCTGTGGTGTGTTTACTTTACTCCTTGCTGATGTTTGTCCAATTTGAAAAACACAGCAGGACTTAATGTCAGAAAACAAATTTGGCGGATGGTTGTGTAGCCTGTAACTAAAAGAAAATGCATGGAATATGACAGGTGTTCCAAATTCAATAATGGAATAAGTCATGACAGCTTGGGATTGTGTTTTCATGCACACTTAGCATATGTCTGATGAGGCTCCTGTACTTTGCAAGGTGATCTCATCAGTAGTTTATCAACTTGTTTCCATTTTGCCTGTGATAACAGAGTTCCTTGAGACCATTCTTGGTAGATCCATCTTCTAGGGCCACTGAATGGCTCAAGACGCATCTGAAAGAGGCCAGATTAGAGGTGGTCAACCAGCAGGTATGTATCTTTCCTGTTTTCCTTTGGGAGTGAAACATGGGAAACAGCCTTCAAACTCTTGACAAATTATGACTCAAATTCCAGGAAAAACTTAGTTTGTTTCAAAATCCCTAAAGTTCCTTGTGAAAGTACCTGGAATATCTTTCAACCAAAACTCTAGAAACAAAATCCTGAATATAATTGATTATTTATTAGGTGCTTGAAAGTCTTTTTTTTTTCTGAAGAGCCACCCACTTTGTGAAAAGAATGAGTTGAATTGATATCCTGTGAGTTCCTTCTAATGCTTGTTCATGTTAGTACCCTTCAGTATCTTCATCTTACCAGTGATTTTTTACATTACTTTCAGGATGCTAACTTCACCACAGCCTTGGAGTTGGCTGTCCGCTTTGGCAAGACTCTGTTGATTCAGGAGATGGACGGTATTGAACCGATCCTATTCCCGCTCCTCAGAGCTGATCTAGTCAGTCAAGGTAAATCATGCCATTTTTATCGCTACCTCTGAAGATCTCATAGTTTTAATATCTCAACCATTGCGCATGCTTAGGTAAGAAGAAAGATGCGTCCATAACAATATCTGTTCATCCCATACTTTTTATTCTTTTCAGCCGAAATTTTCTACACTTACAGTCAGGAAATATCTGAATGTTTAGATGGCATGTAGTCTTGCCCGTCACAGAGTGTACATTCTTTTCGCCCATTTTAAGATGAGTGTTTTTCGGAACCAACTTCTTATTTGTTCTATGGATTCAGGACCACGGTTTGTGATTCAGATTGGAGACAAGGTAATCGACTACAATGAGGATTTCCGTTTGTTTATGACCACACGCAACCCTAACCCTGAGATCCCACCTGATGCGGCTTCAATCATCTCAGAAGTTAACTTCACCATAACCAGGGCAGGCTTGACTGGTCAGGTGGGTAGAAAACATTGACTGATTGCATGTGGTATTGCACAAGAGGTGCTTCCTTTCACTCGTTCATTCAGTTTCACAAGTTTTCCTTCTTTCTAGTCTTAGTACTTGAGTTTGTTTTTGTTGCTTCTTTCTTCAGTTGTTGGCTAACACCATCCAGCATGAAAAGCCAGAGTTGGAGGTCCGTAAGACAGAACTATTGAAGCAAGAGGAAGACCTCAAGATCCAACTGGCTGAACTGGAGGAATCCCTTCTCGAGGTATCACTCTCTCATCTCTTTGCTTCAACTCCTAAAATATTTGCACTGTCTATCGGAACATAACAGTTGCAGCCTTAAATATATGAAAAGGGAATTCCACCAGGTTTTGTGAATCAGTTTGAAAAATGAATGAAGCAAATCAGTTTGTCTAGAGCATTATATGAATCAATGAAATACCATTCACTCCACCAACTCAGCAGCCTAGACCTGTCTTGTGACACAACAGCCTCTCAATGATATTGAAACGTAAGGTACCTACAAAATGTAAATGGATTAAGCTGAACCACTTGTCTGTGCTTACACATATAAGAACTCAAACAAAAAACTTCCAGTGTAGAGCCTCAACATTAACCGATTTACGTTTGCTTTGTTTATCTTGAGAATCGATGAACTTTTTCTTTTCCGTTTTTCCCTAGACTCTAGCTAAATCTGAAGGCAACATCTTAGAGAACAAAGCCCTCTTAGAATCCCTAAACAAGACCAAAGAGAGCAGCCAGACCATCTCCAACTCGTTGGAGGAATCGGTCAATCTCCAGGCGTCCTTAGACCAGGAGAGATCCGCCTACTTGCCCCTGGCAGAGAATGGTAGCACCTTGTTCTTTGTCATCAGCGACCTGGCTAAGCTGAATAACATGTATCGCTTCAGTCTCGGGGCATTCTTGAGGCTGTTCCTGAGGGCACTGGAAGGAAGAACTGTAAGTAATTGATGGTAGAAGAAACATTTGTCACATTAGAGTAAGCTTTTGTAAATCATTTTCAGTTTTTAAATCGAATATCAGGTTGTACCAAGGGTGAGATTTATCTCACCCGGTTTTATGGTTATTTTAATCATCATATTCATCTCTTAGTGTGTTGTTGTGATCTGTGCTTGAAACAGTTAAACAGAAAACAAAATGAAATTAAGATTGAAACTAATTCAAGATACATTCTTGGAATCCTCCTGATGTAGGTTTTGCCATGAGAAATGTTTACCAGCTGTCTGCCCTTATATTAGATTTCTTGACACTTACAAACCTCCTTGCATGATTGTCATCACAGGATGGTAGCAGCACTGAGATGCGTATCCAGAAGCTGGGTATCTCCTTACAGAATCTCATCTATGAGTATGTCTGCAGGTCACTCTTTAAGGCAGATCGCCTCATGTTTGCCCTCCATCTGGTACACGGCATGCATGCTCATCACTTCAAGGAAAATGTAAGTTCATTAGAAACATCAAGTGAAATCATCCAAAGGATTCTTTGTATCAAAGAAATAATATTGATGATTGTATCAGTTTTTAATAGCTGTGATTTTTTTGTTTTGTAATAGGAATGGGAGGCATTCTTGGGTCAGATTGTGTCCGATGTCAAGTCTGACGCCAGTAAGTCAAGAGATGCCTTACCTAGTTGGATAGATCAAGACAGAGTCCAAGCTGTCTCAGTCCTCAAGGTCAGTCAGGTTCATATAAGTCTCAATATCTCACAATCTAGTGTTAAAATATTGGTTATTCGTGCATGGAAATATTTTTGATAAATTTTGAAAGAATGAATAAGTGTTTGATATACCTCTAAGCCAGGAGTTTGAGGAATTAAACATCTTTGCTAATGTGTCTTTTGTCAGTCCAATTTCACCCAGTTGTACCAGAACTTGAGCCTGTCGGACTCCAGCCTCTGGTCCTCCTTCTCAAGGAGCTCTCAGTGTGAGCAAGAATTCCCATCAAGTCTAGACAAGAAGATCTCACCATTTCAACAGGTAGAAGAAAAATAACTCGATGTTAAAGCTAGCTGCAAAGCTCACTGTAAGAGATCCCAGAAACTAACCTGTGCTTTGGAACAGGGACCTCATTTCCATTCACAGTCACAGGAAATCATCAATAAAGCTTGAAGATACATCAGTCTGTTCATCTGTAAGATTTCATTAATCAGGCATGAAAGCCTGAAATATCAGTAAGAAAAATGCATTTGCTTTCTCCTTGTTGCAAGTGCTCAGTAATGTACTAGATGCCCAGTTGAAGAAGCTGCTCAGTTATGAATGTTCCAACAATGAATTCAATTTCTTTTAGTGATAGCTGTTTATCTTTGCTTATTTTGTTTAGACACTGGTGGTGCAAGCTCTTCGACCAGACAGATTGCAGAGCTCCATGGCTATGTTTGCTTGCAGAGTCCTGGGTGAGTTCAGTGCATTGAGTTTCTTATTGGAAGGCTGCGCGGTATGCAAGAAATCTCTGAGGAAGTGTGTACTTTAAGTTATGTATCAGATATCGTCTGAGTTTTCCTAATGATGTGACTTTGTATCCCTTGGTCTGTAGGTATGAAGGAGCTGTCTCCTCCGACACTCAACCTGAAGCGACTGTGCCAGGAGACAGTGCCTACTGAACCCATTCTGGTCATCATCTCACCTGGTGCTGACCCGTCACAAGAACTACAAGAACTGGCTAATGAAGTCATTGGAGCTGAGAAGTATCACCAGGTTAGCATACAATGTGCCTCATCACATCCAGAGTAAAATGGTGCCCAGTGACGTGGACAAATGAACTTAGTTTACTTTTGATGGATAGTAGTGTTGGTCTACCACAGCTTAGAGTTGGCAGGCCAGACATCTTGAGTTTGAGTCTGAGCTCAGTCAGATCTGTTTTACTTGCCAAAATTTCACCTATGTGTAACCTTTGACATCTGACTTCTTGCTTGTCCAGGTTGCCATGGGTCAGGGGCAGGCAAACATTGCTATGCAGCTTTTGCATGATTGTGCTCGTAATGGAGAGTGGCTGTGCTTGAAGAATCTCCATCTGGTTACATCCTGGCTACCGGTTCTAGAGAAGGTATGATGGCTGATGGACGGACGGTCGCAAACTGGAAAGTTGTAGTGAATTTGGACCTCTCAATCACCCATTCAGAAGTAGGGCTGTGCAAATTTTCCAAAATAAAGAAAATATTTCAAGGCTTTGATAGTTGGAAACAAACTTTCCTGTGTTTGCAAACTTGTTTTGGACAGTTGGATAAATTATTGTAGAAATGTAACACTGGCAAGGTTGAAATTGTCTTGAAACTATTGTGCAATGAACACTACTATTTGTAGGAGATAAACACTCTTGAGCCCCATGAGAAGTTCCGTCTGTGGTTGACAGCTGAAAGTCATCCCAAGTTCCCTACTATCCTACTTCAGTCCAGTCTAAAGATCACATATGAGGTAAGAATGTTTATGTCAAACTTCCTTAAGGTGTCACAGAAATTCAAGTTGTCTTTTGATGTGCAGTCAAACCTCGTCAGTAAGAGGTCCCTTGAACTTTGTAAATTACCTTGTTAGAACCGGAGCCTTGTGTTATCAGGAATAAAATGAAAATACTGGGGTGTGAAAATTTCCTTGTTATATATTATATTATATTATCTGTGCCCTTAACAGACAGTAAATCTAACTCTCCCCGTGGTATTGTATGATAGGTGCCTCGTAGGATCAATGGTCAAGAAGTGTATTGTGGCACATATGCTAATGGCACAAGGCATTAACAGTGCAGAGCTAGAGTGCTACACACACCGTCCAGCTGTCATAGTAATGAACAGTCAAAATACTACACCCCCCCCAAAAAGTTCTGTTTTTAAAATGACGGTAGATAAGTGACAGTCATAGGTGCGGTAGTTTGATAACAGGTTTCTTCGTCTTGGAAATGGGAGATTGTATTGTTTGTCACATAAGTACATTTTGACATATTTAAATTCCTTTAAAATTCAATCAAAACTACATGTATTTGCATTTAAACTTTCAAACTCAGCCATGCATTCCTACATCTCAAACTACTACGTTTTCTAATATATTATTTACATTTATATTGAAATCCTCTTTGCCAAAAGAGTAAGACTTCACCTTATGAACCTTCATCTGAACTAAAAATGCAATGACAGTTTACGTGTAAGGAGTCGTATCTTTTTATTTCAGGCCCCACCTGGTATCAAGAAGAACCTCCTTCGTAGCTACGAGTCCTGGTCTCCTGAGTTTATCTCTAAGGATAACAACACCATCCGTGCTCAGGCCCTGTTTGCCTTGGCTTGGTTCCATGCTGTCTGCCAAGAGAGACGTAACTTTATCCCACAGGGCTGGACCAAGTTCTACGAGTTCTCGCTCTCAGACCTAAGAGCAGGTGCTGACATCATCAATCGCCTGTCCAAGAGTAAAAGTAAGTCAATCATTCTAATGCCATTTTAACCTTGAGAGTCTGAAGTACTTTTTGAAGGAAGACATTCTTGAGGCTGTGAAAATGGCATTGAGAGTATGCAGGACAATTGGTTTGAAGAAATGGTTGCTCTAAGTGGTAGAGACAGCTTAAATGGAAAGTGACGAGTAACTTCGGAAAAACCAGTTGTGTTTTTGTTTGCATTTCTAATTGTGTTTAACGTTTCTTTAATTGTCTCATTCCTACAGGCAAAGAAATGAAATGGGACTTCATTCATGGACTGTTTGAGAATGCCATCTATGGTGGTCGTGTGGATAACCCTTTTGATATGCGAGTTCTACGATCCTACCTATCTCAGTACTTCAACAAGGACACCCTGACAGGAGGAGGTTCAAGAAAACCCAAGAAGATAGCTTCAGGAGTGAGTGTTCCTTCCTCAGCTTACTACAGGGTAAGTTACCGCTGGCTGTGGTTACGGCTTTGGAACCAATTTAACCTTGAAGTTGTTTTCAGCTCAAGCAGAAATTAAACAGATAGCCGCAAGTTCCTGTGTGTTTCATGGAGCTTTTTGTCTCTTGTTGTTCAGGAATACACTGACATGATCAAGTCCTTCCCTGAAGATGACAAGCCATCCTATTTTGGCCTGCCAGCCAACATTGAGCGTTCCTCACAGCGTATCATCAGCAGCCAGGTCATCTCCCAGCTCAAGATCCTGCGGCGTCTTGATGAAACTGCAGTCAAGTTTGATATAGATCGATGGAACACAGAACTGGGACCCATCTTGAACCTGTGGAAGAAGCTCAACCAGGTATGAAGACTGGGATGAATAAGCATTCAGAAAATCATATTTTGGGATTAAATTGAAAATAGAAGTGTTTTTCTTAAATTTCCAATGTCTTAATTGATTGATAATTTTGTTTTCAGATGTGTCACATGGGTAGAACTTCGTTAATAAGTTTTCTCTAAAATTGAAATGTGTGCTTTTTTTCATCAGGGTTCACAGCTGATCCAAATGAAATTACAGCCTCCCAGTGAGAAGTCGGGCAATTCTGAGAGTCCAGTCACCTCTTTCATCCAGCTAGAGAGATACAATGCCATCACACTCGTCCAGTTTGTTCATTCCACGCTGGCTGCTCTTAGCAAGGTGATCCGTGGTACCACACTGCTCACTAGCGAGGTGCAGAAGTTGGCTTCATTGCTGCTCAAACAAGAGGTAACGTTGAACTCATTTACCTTGTCTGAAGTGAAATAGACCCTCTTGAGTCTTGTGCTTGATTAGTTGCAAGTATTTGGACAAGTAAAATGGGGAATCAGTGTTACAGGCTGTATTTGAATTGATCTTTTCATGGTTGGTTATAGATGCATGGTTCTACTTATTCACAGTGAAACTGAAATAGTGTTATGTGGTGTACTTGTAAAAAAGTTTTTCTTATTACATTCAACACTCATAACATCATTACAACGGTAATAAGGAAGCCAGGTAATTTCTTTTACATTTTTGGAAATATTGATCAGTTGCATATCAAATATTTTATAATTTGTAATTTTACAGGGAGAGGAAATAGGTACTTGTGAGAGAGGGAGATTGATTTCTAAATAATGTTATTTTTCTTTTGTTTGTAGACACCCCTAGATTGGCTGAGTAGGTGGGATGGTCCAGAGGATCCCATACAGTATCTGCGTACTCTAGTGGCCCGTACCATGGCCATTCAGGGGTGGGTTCAGAAGACGGAGTCTAGGTCCCTGTTGAATGAAACCCTGGATCTGTCAGAGCTATTTCATCCAGATACATTCCTCAATGCACTGAGACAGCAAACGGCCAGGTATGTACAGCCATTTTAATAGGACCTTTGACTGGAATTAAATCAGAATTGATCAGCCCATTCATCCTATTTCTTATGCTCTGCTCATTTGTTGTACTTGATTTGGACAGAGATATCAAGACTTCGATGGACAATCTCAAGTTTGTCTGTCGTTGGGGTGGAAGCATCTCGGGTGCCAGGCACCAAGTCAAGGTTAGTTCAGAATTTTACCACAGTTAAACCATTTACTGTGGTCCTCACTCCCAGTCAACCCATTTCCTTAACTTATAACTCTTATCTTAAGTATCCACACATCTTGATCATTTCCTCTTTGGGGTAACAAGATTGTGTTGTGTGAGGCAAGCTTACAATATCACACCCCTTAAATCCATCTTGTGTTTCAACTCTTTGTTTTAGTACTTTAAGCCCTAAATTAGTCTCAACTTCAGTTTTTATTGAGGAAATAACATAAATTGTCTAGCCCCTAGAAAGACATAAGTTGCACCCTTCTCAATGACCCTTTGTCATGTCTGATTTGCTCTTGGCTTAGATTGGTGGGCTCCAGTTAGAGGGTTGTACATTTGATGGATCTAGGCTGTCTGAAAACCAGAGGGATTCACCCAGTGTCTGCACTGTGCCCACATGCACAGTTGCATGGGTTCTTAAGGTAAAGTAGACCAGAGAGATATGTAACCAGCAGGACGCTTGGAAGAAGTCATTGTTCCATTTCTTCCTGGCCCCAGATAAGTATTGATAGATAATGATAAAGGGATCTTCAGTATTCATGTTGCTAACCTGACCAGGATTGAAGTCTGCCATGATAGATCACCATATCTAAGGCACATACATACCGATTTCTTAGTTCAGCCGACATGGGAATGTCATCATGTCAGAAAGAGGGGAAGGCAGATCAAGAGATGGATGAAATCAGGGAACATGGTGGTGTTACACAAGAACAATAGATTGTTACATGCTTCTCAACTGATAAAGTAAAAGAACTCTTTATATTTAAGTTTGGGACAAAATCATTGTTTGAACTGCCTGGCGTCGACTACCAGGACCACCAGATTAGACAGCTGTGTCTTGTAGAGTCAATATTTCCTTTTGTCATTGTTCTCAGGATTCCAGTGAACCGTATGGTCCAGAGGAAAGCATCTCTCTACCTGTTTACTACAGCTCAGACAGAGAGAAGATTGTCACTCATCTAGCTGTGCCTTGTGGTGGGGATCAGGAACATTGGGTGCAGACGGGAGCCGCACTCTTCCTGAAAAGCCTGTGAATTAGACTGGCTATGACTGACCATGATTACATCACAATAATCTCAATACCCGCCAGAGTTGTGGGAACGGGTGAACAAAAGTGACAGATTGATAGCAGACAGTCTTAATACATCCTCAGAATCTCTGACTCAGGCGCTGAGAATGAACAGAATGTTGTCGTTGTGATCTCCGACAGGTCATTTAAATTTGTACACCTGCACAGATCACTAGTGTGAATCACTAGTGTGATCTACTTGCACTAGAACTACATTTAGAAGACAATATCTGTTCTTAGTTTTGCTGGATGTTTGAACTTCTACTGGGCTAAATTAAATCCATCTTTGAAATAGTTCTATTGGGCTATAATTTATCATGAATGACATTTTCAAGTTTGAATGATTCAAAGGAACATTCCATTGAAGAGGCATTTTAAGTCTATTTTCCATCAAAGTTTTATGCATGTGAATGTATTACCTGTTCTAGATCTTCTTTCTGAGTGGCTAAATGTTTCAAATATAAAAAAGGATACATGTAGACACAAAACGCCCTGTTTATTTCCAAAAAAAAGTTATGATCAACTTTTTTTTTTTTTTTTGAGTTTTGCCAAAGTTGGTTGTGCTATGAATTGAATGTTCCTTTCAAATCTGGGATTGAAAACAAAGAAATTCCGTTGTTTTGGCCATAAATAGACATTGATCAGGATGTATAATTCTGCTGTAAACAATAGACATACATTTGTTTGAAAGAGTTCTCAGTGTATATTATGTTGACTGCGATTTGTAGATGAAAGGAAAGTTTGTATATAGTGGCATCTAGGTTTTTCTCGTGAAGTGTGTGAATGATTTCCCAGTGTATATAATTGGTTTCAGATGTGAAGGCAACAAAGTACTGAACTATTTTATGGAATGATCCCTTACTATGATTGATAGAGTTAGTAACGACCGCAAAGTCCTGAAAGTTGTCCTACATTCGTAAACTCTATTGCTCAGCAGCAATCTAGAAAAGTAAATCTCTTTTCACTTTAACATTATTTAATTTGGAGCACTCCTTTGAGAACTTCATGCGTTCCACAATTGCAACATAGGCACTATACTAACACGTCAGTTGACAAAATCATTATTAGTTAACAGAAACAAAGGTTTGTCTTTGTAGGTTATTTCTCAGCTGTTTTCATTTGAAACTTCTCTCTCCCAATTCATACTGCAGGCCGTGTTCCCAGTGATATGACTTTTAGCATTTGGGGTTTGGAAATACCAAGCCAAGCATGGTCATTCTTGTTGAGCAAGCGGTCAAGATGTCTGCACTTCAAAATTCGAGAACAAACACGCTTGCAACACCTTTTGATTTTGGTGCCAAAAGCCTTCATTTAATCCATACAACTTTTTACAGGCAGTAATATATTCATCTAAGGAATGAACAAAGTTTTTGGAGACGTAATCTTACTCCGGAGATAATTTTTACTAGTCATGACTGATACAGGTTACATAGGAATTATGCACGGTGTTTAACAGAAACCACAGGACAAATTGTGTGACCTATTTCTTTCCAGTAGCATCGTATGCAGTTTTGTTTATCATACTTTGACTGAATTATACAAATACTCTATTTTATAAAATTAAAAGAAGACAACTGCGGGAAGTGTAGTAATAAACAGAAACCTTGGAATAAGTCTGAGTATTGTTCAGGTGTCTCTTTACATCATGCAGACTATCAAAATTCTTTCCAATTGCAAAATCAAAAATTGAGATTCTAACAACAAAAAAATGCCAGAACGTGAGTTAGCTACTAATCCAGCCACAAAATCAAATAACCTGGTTAGTTTAATACACTAATACTGAGTTGGTTGGTAATCACATTGACATATTCACTATTTCTGCAAATATAAAAAAAGAGCACACATGAACACAAGTTAAATGACAAAACTAACTTGTCAAACTTGACATTATCTTTTCATAGAAATGCAACCATTGTGACAACATACAATGACTGGTGTCTTTAGTCTAATTATTTTACTTGCATAATTATCAATTCATTGAACAATCAAACATACTACAGGAATATAAAAAGAAAGACTCGGAAGAGAAAACGTAGTGCATATTGCACCACCCACTGGCCTTGTTAGACATTTGTTTTTTCTTCAACACAATTACTCTTGTCTCCTTTTCTCTGTGGTTCTTTGTAACAATGAGGTTGAAGACCGGTTAAATACACGCATATTCAAACGATAATTGAGCGCTCTCACAGACTTTGGTTTGTTGCTTTTGACCACTGGGAGATGTGATCTGTTCCTGACTGATGGCAATTGCAAACTATGGTTTAAGATTCCTTCATGAGTACAGTAGAATGCCCAGCTTTTGCTGAGGTAAGAGCTAGCTTTTTGCCACGGTATGCACTCCATTGTGAACCCTTGCTCTTACAACTATTGTAGAGGACACAATAAAGTTTCAGAGATGAGAAAACTGTATCATTAAATAGATCGACCACGTGACTGCAAATCACATATATACACCCTGGACAGTGTTGGATATTTGTTATTCCTTGTGACACTCAAATGAAACTAAACCCCTATGTTCCAATAAGAAAATAAATATATGTTTTGATAATTCTTAAGATACACGTTTTTATGAACTAAAGTTAGTGAAGATAAAGTCACTTTGCAGGAGTTGAATCATTTGACTAAAGATTCAAAATGTACAAAATACTCTTTACATTCAAACTCCTAAAAATGGGTTCTACCCTTTAAAGAAATACACCACTATATTCTGAAGTTGGTGCATGGTGTTTGGCAAGGTCAAATGTTGGACGAGAGCACTTTTGTTTGTACACGTAATTTCTGAGTTACAAACAAAATGTATAAATTCTGTTTTGATGACTTATATTGCAGCAGAGTAACTTCTTTACACAGCAGCGATAACAGCATGCACATGCATCAAGACAGGTCTCAAGGTGATACATTATAAATACCTCCATTTATGCATTCCAATAAAGCATTCCTGAGACCATCTCAGATATCTGGGGAGTTTATACAGGTCTGTTACTGCCACTGAGCCTAGGGAATAGTCCATTTGAACAGTGAATTCTGCTCTAACAGGCAGCACAAGTACCCTTGAAATTGAGATGCAAGTTGTAAATGCTCCAACAGATTTCTTTGCTTTGATTAACAATGACTGTTTTTGATCAACTTGAACTGTAAGTGTTCTTACAGCAGACCATAAATTGACTTATAATTTGACATTGACCAAATGTCATTAATTCGAATACAGATGCTTGGTGTGATCTTTGAGTCTGTGATATGTGTTGTCCCCATCAATAGGCTAGGTAACCATTCAACACATCTTCGTCCACCTGCGAGTTGGTTATAATGACTGCGTGATCTCTGACATCCAAAATGATTGTGGTGTGGAAAGCGATGTTGCTCACGACACACAGATATTCAAAGAATGCAAAGACACTGTAGACTGTTGGAAGAGAAACATTAGAAACGATAATAAACTTAAGACCAGATGCATAGCTAGGGTTTAAATTCAGCTGTTACAGGGATGAGGTTGTCAATCATAATGAAGATAGAAATTGATGAGCATCAGTCAATCAAAGAATATTGGCTGTGAATACAACCGTAGACAAGTTGATAAGCTACAATTGGTGACTTCTGGAAATAAAAATAGCAAGCCTTGGATCATATCCCAACTGGAGAATAAAATAAATTAATGCCGATCAGGTTAATTTGAATTTATTTTTCAGATTTAGAGGAAATGTAATATTCAGTTTTTACAAATCCTTGAAACTTTGAAGATGAGACTTGAGAAGAGCACTTGAGGAATGGGGTGAGTGAACTCCTGAAGATCCAATCAGTCTTCGACTAAATGGACTGTTATTTGGGTGCTTACCATAGGGCTCACAGTAGCGATTATGTCTATCAAAGAGATATGAAAAGCTGATGATGGATGCTACAAATGTTCCAAACAAGTAGAGCTTGTACTGGTAGGAATATTGATGCTGTGAGAAGGAACGAAGAGGTTACAAGCACAATGAAACATAGAATTGATATGAGCCAAGGACAAGTAATGGACTGTTTCACAAGATTTAAATTAACATTACTTAAGTTGAAATTAATTTGTTTTTCTACTGTCCTTCCCTAGGAATGCTGGCAATTGTAGGAACCACAGCAGGCTTCGACCAGAACGTCTATGACCAGCCATTCTAAAGTATTATGTCAAATCACATGCCATTATAGTCCTCTGAAGAGGACATTAAATTAAGTCCGTACCATGGGAGCTTTTCTCTTGTGACACAGACAGCAAGTTGAGATCATGTGCAGCACAGCAAAGATCACAAAGAAAATAAAACACTTCTCATGTATACCTGAAAATAGACAAAAGTTATATCACTAAACAATAAAAAAGGTGCGTCTTTTGTAACAGGATACTGGACAACCATATTTTCATAACTTACCAGAGAATTTAAAGTTGTGTTTCTAAATGTGTATTAACAGCTTGGACATATGTCTGAGGTGAATACCTCCTGTAGACACGTTTTCTCAGTTGAAATCTTGAACTCCGTCTATCAGACTGTGGGTAAATAAATGCTGACTGGAAGCATAGGAAGGCTTTGGCAAGAGAACTCTTACTGTAATCATCATTAGATGAGACGTAGGTTAGACCAACCAGACAAGACAACTCCATCAGGCAAAACCCAAGGTTGACTCGACACAGAGTCCTGTAACTTGGATTGGAACTCCAGTTATGAAGATCCTGGCGGTGCCAAGTGTACCACAGGACAGCAAAGAGAATTCTAGGAGTGACGTGTAAAGCCACAGCAATGCGCCATATATAGCGCTGTGGTGTGAAGTTACCAATGCTGGCACTAATGGAGGGTAGAAAATTGTAAACCTGCAAGAGAAAAAAAAATTAGAATCAAAGTGGAAAACAAATATTAAATAACACAAATAGATAAAAACACCATTGATATAAAGATTCTGTGGAATTGTGAGGGAGGTCCTGCTTTTTGCATGGACAATGCATAAGTTATTAAATACTGGGCTGGAGAATATAATACAAGTAGGGATCATCCAGCAACTTATAAGAATTCTGTGTATATCCCTGCAGTCATATATTAGCCATCAGAAAGCAATATTAGTATGTCCTATCAGTCAAATTTAGCAGGGTGAGCATTAGCACATTAACTTTAAAACAATAGGAGTTTTAGACCATTCTAACATTGTCTGATGAGGCCAAGTGATGCCTAGATAACCAGGTTTGGAACTGTTTCTGTCCTCTCTTCCTTACTCTCTTACAGTAGGACTAATCAAAGTAAGCACAGGGCCTAGGCCTATTGAAGTTGCAAAGGGCCGCAAAAGTTGGTCATCATGGTCATGGCTATAGCCTAGAAAACGTTTTCTACGTAACATTGATAATTATTGGCACATTGATTGACAACGACAATGCCAGCCGTCATCAAAAAACCTGAATGAAACATTATGATAAACTTGTCACTCACATTGCAATGCGTATGGTTGACTCCATAAAAGTCCTTCCAAATCGAAATCAAGACACACAACACAAAACCAATGAGCGGACAACTTGAAGTGACTAATGCCAGGGTCCTCAGCGAAAATCGGATCATTCTGGAAGCGATTTTAGATCGATTTCCCATCAGAAAAAGGGCAATTCTCTCAATTGGCCGAAGGCAAATGCAGCAAAAAAAAGTTAGAGTGCGTGGGCCTAAATCAGTACTGATTTCTCTGGAAGAAGTGTAAGGCCTGGTGTTTTTCCACCGGTGTGATCCTGTTATACTGTTGGTGTTACCCAAGTGTTTTTCCCACCGCGTGTCGTAGCGCCCTCAACAGTTTGTATTTCATTCGGTTTTGGCTACAAATGTATGGGCCCCTTCTCATCTTAACAAAATGGGTGCATAACTTGAATGTGAATTTTCAACTTGTGAGGCAGGTTATCCGACTAAGGTAGTTATCTGAAACCTCTTAAAATCATTAGTAAATTACTTAAATTCATCATAATCGGAGACATACATTATTTAATGAAACAGTATAATGTGTGTTTCAGTCTGCCAGTAATTTGGATGAATGAAAGGTCGAACAGGAAAACTTATAAGGATATGCAGATATAAGTACTTGGCATCAACTATACGTTAAAAATGCTTCCGCAAACTGTATGATGAAGTCAGGTCATCACGAAATGACGAGAATTCGTCGCCGCAAATTCGCCATTATAAATAGTGTATTTTCTTTATCAAGTTTGTAATTTTCAGGTCCATTAAGTTTCCATGTGAATAGAGCGAAGATTTTTTCGTATGAATCCACCGAAAGATCTATCCTTCGGAGCGGCGGAAGAGGAAAGGTGGGACTGGGAGCCAAAAATGTCTGGTCAAAATTCGTAGGATGTGATTGGTGAATGTGGCGATATGTCGATGTCTCTCTACAGACATGCCGCCCATGCATTATTGTGTCTGTTAGTCTCCACTCCTTACTTGTGATGGGTTCTTCTTATTTCTTCCTTGTTTTACTCTCTATATTTTCCATTACAAATTACAAACCACCATATGCTGAATCTTTTTTTTTTAATATTTGGGTCTGATTTGGTAAATCAGGTAAGGAAGGATGGGTCCAACAAGCAAATTTGCTGTTAGCCTGAGTTATTGATGGTGATAGTTGCCGAACAAAAACATCAATTTTACCTTCAATACTACTGCGAAAAGACTGGATATGCCACCCGAGGTACAGACAAAGTTTGAGCATTATGACCAAAGTGACGTTCTACGGGAGTCCTTGGATTTTAATGGGAAATTGCACTTTTCATCTTCCTGGTATCAAATAAACCAAAGTTCCTCTAAAGCAATCCTCAGAGTCTATTTAATTTATTGAGTGGGGTATCTAGTAAATTTGCAGTCATTTTGAGGGTGAAATCTGATGTTTTTATTGGGGGTGTTGATAATCTGTTAACTCCCCAGAGTGATTTACTAAGAACCATACCCATTCAGACAAATTCCAACACCATACAGTAAACTGTGCACAAAAACTGCTTATTTTGGGTATGCCTGAATCCATGTTAAAGCACAAGCAGTTTAGGGGTGCAGTACCCAGTGCCACAAATTCACACACTTTACTGGTGTTCAATTCTGTGGGGTTAGGGAAGGTTAGGGTTAATTCAGAAAATCTTGCTGCACATACCACGTTGATGTTGTCTGATTTAGTGCAAATTTAGCAGTGTTATCAGAAGTGAAATTACAGTTGGTGGTGGAGAAAGGGAGAAGGAACCTCCTCGTGACCTCTGGGCCCCTTCAGGTGTTACCATTCCCTATTCGAAATTTCATGCTCCTAGCTACATGACGTGCTAAAAAAAGATTGCACCTCTGGAGAAATTATTGCATTCCCCATGTTCTCCTTGAAAGTGAGACTTTACCTTAACTCCCCTCAATCCTCCAAAATCCTCTGGGTGGTTGGGGAGGATTTTGGAGGATTGAGGCTGAATGCGATTTTTTATTAATCTGAGGATTTGAAGGATTGAGGATGGTGCCTAGCAAAAGGCCTTGGGGATGAGGGTTAAGCTACATCACTGTTACTTAGAGCACTTGCTGTTCAAGTCATCACTGTTCACTCATTTTACTGTATGTCATTTTGCCTGTACAGCACCCGTCAAGTCAGCTCAAGAAGCCCTGCTACCAGTCCAGATGATATGTAAGTCACTGTGCTTTGAATAGACTGGAGCCAGTCAGTGTGTTAATATTGCTACAGTGTGGTGCAGGAGTACTAAGGGTGTTGGATTGTTTGGTATGGATGGTGTAACAAAAAGTAGTCTTATTCTGATCCAATAGCTTTAGGGTTAACGTAGTACTTGTTTTTACTTTGTAGGAAGCGTGCTGCCGTACAGAAGCGCATTGAGCAATATTTCTACCAGCTCATCGATGGCTGTGGTAACAAGCAATGCTCTAATGAGCACTGCGCCTCCAACAAGAACACAAAGCCACTTAGCCACAATGAGGCAGCCATTAAGGCAGTGGCTCTCTGTAAGGCTAAGGCTCTACTCTGCTGCCAAGCTAATGAGAAGAATGCCAAGCAGGCCAAGACGACTCATGCAGAGAGAAAAGACGCCAGCGATGACGTGCCCACGAGTAGTCAGGCAGCAGGATTGGGAGCAGTAAACCAACTGACTGATTCACCCAGTGATGATGCATCCACAAGCAACCAGACACCTAAGGGGCAGAGGGGTACCACACTTGAGTCTGCCAGTGAGGAGGCTTCGACTACCACCCAATCTTCACCAGTGGGTATGGATACATCACTGAACACATCTCCAACAAGTGACACAGCATCAACAAGTTATCAGACACCCAAGACCAGCACAGCTCCTGAAATAAATGGTGCACCCATAAAAAAGGGCAAGCCAGAACAACAAGGTACTCATTCCTTTCTCATGTTCTTATCACACTTTCCTAACCATAACTCTATCAAATCTTTCCAAACTAATAAGGGTATATTGGTGTACTGATAGAGTTGATACTCTACGTCACAGCCCCTCCAGGTTCAACCAATGGTGTGTCCGTTTTGGCATCTTTGAGACACTGAATTTCATTTCATGAATGTATCGAGGCATAAATGATCAGGAACTTTGCTACTCAGATTTTTGCAGAGTCAGGGAGCTTACTGGTCAAAATAGTCACTTGCTGGGATGATCATTTTGTAAAAATTAACCCTAACCGTCTAGATCTTTTTCAGAGGATACACCCTCAATCCTTCAAAATCCTCCACCTGCCCCCATGAAAAAAATTGGGTACAGCCTCGATCCTCCAAAATCCTCCAGTATTTCTTGAATATGTTCTTTGTAGGGGTGCCCATTGCCTCAATCCTCAAAAATCTTCTGGCAGTTCCTCTCATTATGTTGAGACAGTGTGAATGGTATCCTAGAGTGCAGTATGGAGGATTTCACACATAATGTGGGCATGAATTTGTACATGGCTGAACATAAAACAAGGTCTAACCCACAAGTTGAGACAATGCATCCTTCGCAATCAGCAATATAATTTTGCCATGCAGCCTTAATCCTCGAAAATCTTCCAAATTGCCTAGAAGATTTTGAAGGATTTGGGATGGTTAGGGTTAACATTCTTTGTTATTCAGTTGCTTATTTGAAGTAATGAAAGTTATTTCTGATACGGTTAGCCTGAACTTCACTGTGCTTTTTATTGAATCTAAAAGGCAACCTCAGAGAGAGGACTTGACTGTTGACCTCTGTTTGTTTTCTTTACACCAGCACCCAAACAGCCCGACCACCTTTCTGAAAAGAAAATGATGTCCCTAATTGACTCTTGCAAGGAAAAAGAGAACTTCTCTCCATTGGTGCGTTTGATTGGAGAGGTATTTTCTAATTGGAAGGTTCTCAACAAGAGCTTCTTAAAGCCCCCCTTTAAGGTGAAGACCCCAGACCAGGACACGATAGACCTTGGCAGACAGCTTTCAGAGAAGGAGCAGGAGAGGATGATAGATGACAAGGAGAAGGATGAAGATGAATCAGTTGCTTCTGGAAGCCAAGCCAATAGGACTGGGGAGCTTATGGTAGACATAGAAGCAGTCCAACGTGTCTATGCAGCTCTGGAAAAACTTGATGAAGAGAGGGTGACAAATGCGATGCTGAATGCCATCATTTCCCTATCGCAATTCCTTGAGGTGGATGTCCGTTGGGTGCCGCAGTTTGAAACCAACCCGCGCTTTCTCAATGTCTTTGTCATCACCATGGAGAATCCATCACTGCAGAGTCCCGAATACCTGGAAGTGGCTTACCCAAGTTTTTGCAAAGCAGTTAGCCGTCTTCCTCTGTCTGCCCAGGCCACCCTTGCCCGTATCTGGTCCAAATTCCCGGCCAGCAACCTCAGAAAAAAACTGGAAAGCCTTCAACAGCTCATCACGTGCAAAGTGCTGACTGATCATTTGGAGACACCTCGGAGAAGGGTGAACGATGACGAGAGTATCACAGGAGCCACAAAGTGCATGAGAATAATCTTCTATGCCAACATCTTAGGGGGGAAAGTCGACAAGGCAAGGTCCAGCAGCACACAAGAGGAAGAAGAGATGGATTTGAGAGAACTCCTTGGGGCAGTTGGTAATGACAACAAAGATAAGAAGCTTCCTAAGGAGGATCCTCTAGCTAAGGAGCTCTCCATCTCGGTTCTTGACTCCACGGAGCCCCTCATACCATTTGAGGAATTCTACAACGAGCCCCTTTGTGATCAGATGGATGTTGGCGAGGACTTTGCACGATACAAAAAAGATGGCCTTGGACAGAGTGGACAGTTTTCATTTCTGAACTATCCCTTCATCTTGACCGTTGCAACAAAGAACACGGGTCTCTACTATGATAACAGAGTGCGCATGTACAATGAGAGGAGGCTAACTGTTTTGAATAGCCTTGTCCAAGGAGAGCAGTTTAATCCTTACTTGAAACTGAAGGTCAAAAGAAGCACAGTGATTGATGATGCACTAGTGAACGTAAGTAATGGCAGTTGTTCTATAAATGCTCATTTTGGCCATGCCCATTGGTTATAAACCTTTTGCACCAAAGGTCTTCAACTCCTGTATGCTCATTAAAAAACAATCTGAGACGTCCGTGAAATGATTTCCATCTCCATGTACTGTATTATCCTGTGTTTGTGGAGGGTTTTGAAAGGAATTGATTTATTAATTCCTTTAGATTGAGAAGAATAAAATTTGAATGACTTGCTTACCACAAAGTGTCAGACAATATAAAATGGCTAAATCTCAAAGAATCTCTTGTGATGATTTAATTGCGAGTATGCTATTAAAATGTAAGTTCCATGCATTTTTTTTTCACAAATGTTATTCTTTGTTATTATCAGCTTGAAATCATTGCCATGGAGAACCCTTCCGACCTGAAGAAGCAGCTGTATGTTGAGTTTGAGGGAGAGCAAGGAGTGGATGAAGGAGGGGTCTCCAAGGAGTTCTTCCAGCTTGTCGTTGAGGACATTTTCAACCCAGACATTGGTCAGTACTTTATAATGTCTATCTGTTGCTTTCAGAACCAGAAAAAAATAACTAAAAGCTGTGGTTTTTTAAGAAAGTAGGAGACCTGTCTGTTCTTAACAAAACCCAGAGCTATGAAGTTGCTGACATGATTCATTTTGATGTTTTTTGTGAAATCCTTGTCGTATTTCCAGGTATGTTCACCTACAATGAGGACACCAAGTACTACTGGTTCAATCCAACATCCTTTGAGAATGAGCGTCAGTTCACATTGATTGGTATCGTACTGGGTCTGGCCATCTATAACAACATCATCCTGGATATACAGTTCCCTATGGTGGTCTACCGCAAGCTCCTAGGAAGACAGGCCACGTTTGACGACTTGAAGCCAATCCAGCCTGTATGTGGATTTTTTTATGGGGGATGGAGATAGTTTTACAGTTCACGTTGTTTTGGGCAGTGAATTCCTCAGAACAGTATGTTTTAATTCAGAGTTCCACATTTCAAAACAAGAATTTGTAATGTTCTGTCAAAATCTGCCACATCTTACTTTGTAAGTGTTGAGTGTTACGGATGGGTTTTAGATTCTGGAGTTGGTGTACTAGGTTTAATCTTGTCTGGTTTCAATCAACAACAGAGGTTTTTTGTTTGCTTGTGTTTTTAATTTTTCGGTTTCTCTGCTCTTGTTTAGAATTTTATTCCAAATTTGTTAAGAGAAGTGAAAGCCTGACTGATGATTAATGAACTGGTTTCTGGATTTGTATGATGTGTTCAGGTTCTGTACAACAGCTACAAATCCTTGCTGGAGTTCAAGGGGAATGTGGAGGAAATCTTCATGACAAACTTTGTCATCAGCTATAAGGATGTCTTTGGCAGCACTGTCACCCATAACCTGATTGAGAATGGAGAGAACACACCTGTCACCAAGGACAACAGACAGGTGGATCTGTCACTTACTTAATCAAACCCTAATACTCAGGGTTTGGTGATGGTATTAGTCCCTTAAGAAAAAAGTTTTGGGGACTTTAAAATTACCTTGTAATAGGAACTTTGTGTTGTCAAGCCTGAAAAATGAAGAAAACAAAGTACTTAGGACGACAAGATTTTCTTGTTATAAGCAGGATGCTATATTCACAGTACTCATTGAGGTTCAACTACATTGTGAGAGATTCAGGGTTTGTGGGTAAAGTATCAAGAAGTCTAGTGCACAGACATTTCAAGTAAGATTTTGATGTGAAGTTCTTTGATTTTATTTAAGTTAGTCATAAGTAGCAAGAACAAACATCCCTCTGCTTATTCGTGCCAAACTGTGAAGTGTGCCTTTTTTTTCCTCTGTGACTTGAAGGAGTTTGTGAATAAGTATGTGGACTACATTCTGAACAAGCTTCCAGAAAAGCAGTTCAAGGCTTTCAAGCGTGGCTTTGACATGGTGACTGATGAATCACCTCTCAAGATCTGGTTCCGACCTGAGGAAGTGGAGCTACTGGTCTGTGGAAGTAGGGTAAGCCAAAAGAAATGGAAAGATGACGTGGGTGGAACTATTAGCCTTGGATGCATACTTTGCTCCAACTTCACACTTGGCTCACACGGCAGTGTAAATCAAAGTAGTACATGTGTTTTCGATTTCAAATCACCCAGCATGTTTCTGCTGTAGCATTCGGACTGAATTTGAAGTGCCATTTAATTTTGTGCCATTTTGTTTCAAGTAAGACAGTTCGCAGAAATTTCACCTGGAAAGTTTGAAGTTTGCTTAACGTTGTCAGAGGTACAAGGATGTCTTTGGCAACACCGTCACCCGCAACCAACAGGTTATTTTTGGTTGCGTGATTGTGTCTGTTGCTTTTTATTTATTGTTGTTTTTTATGGTTCTTTCCCCAGCACTTTGACTTTGAGGCACTAGAGGAGGCAACCGAATATGACAGTGGCTACACAAAGGAATCCACCATCATCAAGTAAGTGAAGTAACACATTGAATGGTCCGATTTGTACCCCACTGTCAACGTCATGCTAATGTATTCATGCTGTGACAATGCTTTACATTTTACTTGTAAAATAAGTGTGCTCAAAGATATGCAGGATAACCTTCATAATGAAATCGTCCCCTTTGGGTTTTAGATAAGAAAAATGGAATTCATTTACCGCATGAATTTTGTTCAGAGGGTTGGGATCTTGACTCGTTGTGTTGCATTTATGTTCTTGCAGGGACTTCTGGGAGATTGTACACAGAATGTCAGCTGACAAGAAGAAGAAACTGCTGATGTTCACCACTGGGAGTGACAGGGTACCAGTCGGTGGTCTGGCCAAGTTACGTCTCATCATTGCCAAGAATGGACCAGATTCAGACAGGTAAGTCACAGGCTGGTGTAATCCACCATTGCTGCTGTTACATCAGAAATCAATGAGGCATTGTGAGAGGTGTTTGATTTGTTGACCTTTCAAGGTCAAGCTGAGCTTTTTACACAAATTTGTTGGCACTCTGTGTCAGGTCTAAACTTTATTGTGACTTTTTCCATTAGCACTTCAAGTATTACCAAGTCAAACTTAGTTGGTGAAGCCAGGTTATCTGGCTTTTCAAAGACTCATTTATTGGTTGTTACTAACATCTGCATCTGGCTGTCATTGGCAAAAAGTTCGGTGTTAGAGAATGAATTCAGACCACAATAACAATTTTTTTCTTTGATTGTGCTGTCAGTGAAAAATGTGATTCAAATAAAAAAGTTGAACTGTGTTCCATGCACTCGAGGTGCTGTTTGTTCACCTCCTGTGTCTCTTCAGAGGGCTGTAAATCTTCATGGACCACTCTGAGCATTTTATTGTGGCACTCATTCGATCACTCTTATCCTGGTCTTCCTCTCCAGGTTGCCCACGTCTCACACCTGTTTCAATGTCCTCCTGCTGCCAGAATACAGCAGCAAAGAAAAGCTGGAAGAGAGACTACTGAAAGCCATCACTCATGCCAAGGGCTTTGGTATGCTGTAAGGTTTGCTCCTTGTGATCCCATAAGGTAACCCAGACCGCCTTTCAGGTTTGTCCTGCTGAATCAATCAAAATCCAACAAGGAAAATAACAAGTCTGGATCCATCAAAATTGAACCACTGTCTGTCTACACTGCTCAGAGCAACAACGTCTACAATAAATTGCCCAGAGAGTCAATTATTGCCTGTTCATTGGACTTGATTATCATAACTATTCATATGAAATTGTACGTGCTGGGCGGCACTTGACAAATGCTAAGCATGTTGGACTTACTAATAAATGGATAAACACACCATGTTCATGTGAAGCCCTCTAGTGATGAGGTACAATTAAGGCTTGGATGGGGCTTTTCATGACTAAAACTGCAGTTTTGGCAATTCATAGGCTGCTAGGAAATCCACAGCCACTGACAAAAATACCTGATTAAGATATGGCTTTGCTTCACAGTCTTGGGTGTGATTGCAGTACATACAGGACTCAAATGTTGAATGTTTACAAGCTGTAGTGTTTATTTCTCTGTTATTCAAGCAAGGAATCGCAACATTGTGCTCCGATAAGCCTAGTATTTAGCACATAGGTGAAATCATCCTTTGTTAAATCTTGATAAATTGGTAATACTATTGCAAACCCTGTACATTTTACTTTCACTTACTGCCAGGTTTGAATAAATCCCCAGAGTAGACTGGACCAGAAATAAAATAGCATGAAATTGTTAACCAGAGCACTTATCGTAGCAGTCCTCAATATAATCAATTTCACTTTCAACTAAACAGAGCATATTAAAACCAGGACACAACCTTTGTGTCGCATTTTTGTTTTTATAAATGTGCTACAGATTAAGTGCTACTGAATGTTGCTGTCCTTTTTCCCAAACTTTTTTGTCAGCTTCCACCAAAACATCAATATTGACCAAAATACATGCAATACCTGCACGTCCTTTGTGTCCCATGATGTGAACAAGAAATAAAACAGGAGATTTTCTCATAATTGCTGCCAACAGACATCTTTCATTAACAAAGAAAGTTTGGTTAATGATAAAAATCATCTATAGAATGAATAGAACTGTGTTCAATCAAAACATATTTGCCATCTCACACTGATGGACAGGTAGTTCAGTTTACAGTAAACTAGCTTCGTTTTTTTGGGCCATCACATAAGGCTAACTGTACCCACAAAACAAAGCTTTGCCACTTTTTGTTGGAAAGCCTTCAGAGATAACTTTAGGTTCATTATTTGAAGGAACTGATTGATGAAAGACTTGCACTGTGTTATTGTAAGAAACATGTAAAATTTGTACTTCTTTATTTGCAGAGAATGTACAAAAATATATAAGGTATGTGTACGTTGTCTTACTCTATGCCAACCATAATTAACCAGCATTGCTTGAAAACTGGAATGTTTTATTTATAATTAAAAATGTCAGAGAGATATTGTCTAAAATTTCAATGTATGAATATATAATTTTTTTTCAAATAACCATGATAACTGTTGATATTGGTGGCCAACTGTTTGCAAGGTAGTACATATACAGCGATGTCTGAGCTGTTGATTATCCATCCTGCTGCTGACCAAAAGGCTTGATGAAAACTGTGAAGTGGACATCAATTCTTACCTTACCTCTTTAGCCAGCCCTCCTTGCTGCTTACTTTGAACCAGGTTTTGGACTGAGAAATAAATATTGCAAGATGAATGAGTTGTAAGGACTTTACCGTCTGAAATCATTAGAAATTGAAAAGAAAAAAGAATATTTTGTAGGGAAATGAAATGAAAGTGGAGAACTCTCTGATCCCTCATACGTGCATAGAGCTTTGACTATTGATAGATGGAGTGCCTACTGTGTACAGATCAGAGATCTTTCAGTTGATCAAACATCACTCATTGGCTCACACCAAACATGTACAAACTTTAAGATATTAATAAATTGTAATGCAGGTAATGGGTAAACCTTATTTCTGCAAATATAGGTCTGTGAATGGTTGCACATTGAGAGGTTTGGTTTGTAGTGAAACTGACTTGGGAGACTGCCATTCAACCTTTTTGCAGTAACTTATTGTACCAGAACTGTGACCAGAGGGGAAGAAATCAGATTTGTGTATTGTGACTGACTGGTTTACTTTTATTAAAGCTCAAAAATTGGCTAAGCCAAGCAGTATCTTCTGCTTAATATTATGTCATGAACTGAGCTCCAGATCCATCTAATTACTACATGTATATGCCTTCAAACCCACACTGAGGAATGTTACTTTGAAATCGAGCTCTGTATACAAGTTATGTAACTGTTAATACTACCCTCTCTTATTTTGTGATCAGACATTTCATCGAACAGTTTTCCTAAGTAAAGTGGCAAGGATATTTGTCAAGTTACATTAAATGTCTTTTTGTGGTTTGTCCATCAGATGTTTGTTTTTGGAGTGTCCATTAAACTAGAATTTGTTGGCTTTGCTGATGCAGACTACAGTGAGGTGTGGGTTAGGCCGTAGAGTTCACATTCCTAGCTACGTGCAGCTGGTAAAGATACATAGACTGGTTCAATGCCTAGATAAGGCATGTTGGAGTAGGAACACCTTTGCCTCTTACGTTTGAGCTTGATGGAAATTCTAACAGTGCGACACTGTGGCACAAGTATGTTTTACTTCTGACAAAAAGAATCTTCATATTCATGTTATGTTGACAAATGAATTACATTGTTGGGCGATTGGAGTGGGCAATGTTTTAATGATTGCCAATAATCAGGAACGCCTGTTTGAATTCCGGATTTGAGGGACTTTGGCTGAGCCTAGTTTACTTGTAATCGGTGTTAAAGATAGTCGCCTTGAACCAGTGCTGTGCGTGGACTTTGGCCAGGGTTAATATAAGTCTGAGAGGGTTTGGTTTTGAACTCCCACACGGACGGTTCAGATTGTACAGCCATTTATTTCAATATCATCACTTCCAATAAACGTAATCTTTGAGATAGTGTGTTCGTCGTGTGTGATAAACAAATGCACAGCCTTCATACCACTCATCTCTTGGTTTTGATTTTTAGACTATGCCAGGAACGTCATTACTGAGACCATTTTTCCTTGGTTTGGTGTCACCCACTGCTATGATTATTCTACCAGTATTTTTTGTTTGTTTTATTTTGCTTCGTTTTTTTTACTGGTACCCTCACAGCAATATGTCAGAAACTGTAAACCAGTTTGATGAAGACCAGTCAACTAGACGTGCTCTTTGAACATTGACCAGTAGGATAATTCCCGTATACATGTAAATGTCATTAACATGTATTTGCGTGCAATTTCCAGGTCACGCACATTCCTCAACTGTAGAGTTTGTATTGGTTTTTAAAAGTTCTTCTTGCGGAATTGGGCTATTTGAGCTGGCAAAGATCCAAGATTACTTGAAGGAGTCACGAGTCAAATTGGGCAGACAGGTATGCTGTGGTAAACAGAAATCTTTGACTGTAATCTTGTCGGTTTTAAACTTTTTCCCTGTTATTTTTTTTTACATATTAGGTTACTGTAGATAACACAGAAATGTGGAATTGTAAAGTCTATTATTTTTTTTAATGTTTTGCCTTTTATTTGCTAAATAAATGTTTTTTGCCAAAACCTGTCAAAATATATAAACAAAACTATTTCCCTTCTTTATCAAAGCCATTCTTTCAAAACAGACAACGGAGATGGACGTGGCGCTTACATCAAGTACACCCTCAGATTATGGGACAAATCCACATGATGATGGTGACCCACCACCCACCTATGATGAGGAGGCAATGAAAGGTAGAGAGATAGAAATCCTAGTAACTGGGCATAGATTCTATGCCTTTAAAATCACATTTAAAAACATTTCTGAGCAATTTTCAGGGACTCTTTTGAATACTTAACTACTAAATATGTGACAAGGTAGCAGGAGCTTTCGGTAGAATCACATGGACAAGAAATGATTCAAGCCATGACTGAATTGTTAAAATAATCGTGATAACGAGCTTATGACCTTTTTGTCTCTGATGAAAATTTGAAATATTGATTTTGTGATCCTGTTTATTTCCTGTTATTGTAGGTGTACCGCCATCTTACGAAGCAATATACAGAAAGATCAGAGAAGCGCAGGCCAACTCATCAACACCTGTCCATTTTGTGGTCACGACAATTAGAATCTTGCTAAACACAGGTAAACATGATATTAAATATCAGTTTGGACATTGTGATATGTATGCACTTGCTTTGAGATTTTCACGGGTAGTACCTCAGTTCGTGCTTTTATAACCTCCTCTAACAGCCGCTTCGAACGTCAGATTGAAGCGTAGTTTGTAATTGGACATTTCTTTCTTTGTCTTTCCTTGTCTTTCCTGGCTAGTCTTCGCCACAGTTTGCTTGACTCTGTCTACAGCCCTACCGATAGCAATGATTGTACTGGGTAAGGATGTTCTTCCACTTTGTTCCGGAATAAATAATCAGATCTGGCGTGTGCTCCAGTGGAATCTTATGTCAATGTTCCCCATGTAATTTTCAGTTATTATATTTGGAAGGTAGTTTATCAGCTGTAGAAAGAAGAGACGCAGTGTCAGTAGCGAAACAAATCAGGGTTACATTATATATAGAAAGATTATTCTGGGTTTGAGGAAGTGCATGGCTTCATTTACTTTTGCTCCTATGATGTCTAACACCTTTTTGATTTGTAATCCACTTGTCGTTATGCCTCTGTGTTTTTTCTCTTTTCGGGGGGGGGGCTTGAATTGCACTGGCTAAACAATTAAAAACAAATGTTCATCGCCCTTTTGTTTGTCACTTCAGGTTCTATCTACATGAATGACTGTCCTGCAGAGCGAATGATTCCGATCTATCTGACGGTGTTTGGTGCCGTCTACAATCTCAAAGCAATCATTGATCTCTGTAGCAGAGGTATCAAGGAGAAATATAAAAACAGAGAGCGTTCTGGGTCTGATTCCCTCGAGGAAAACAAACTTTTTATCGGCGTGAATTGGGTCAGCAGACTCCTTGGTTTGTTTCTCTTGGGATTTTTCATCGCAGGTAATCAGCCAATATTTATATGATGCACAAACAGTGATTCATTTTCGCTGTAAAATATTGTGTTAAACAGAAGAGTCAAATTTGGGATGGGCGGGGTTGGGATTAGGGATGACACTCCCTCCAACATTTAACCACGCCTCTAATGCCATGTTAGGCATTTTGTGACATGCTTTTTGTTTCTATAGGCAATGTGTGGATCTACCGCATTTACGCACCGAGTGACGATCCTACCAGTCCCAACTACTGCTTCGGCCCGCTCTATTATTTTGCCTTCTGGGTGACAACTTTAGCCTACATCTTGATAGGACTGTGTTGCTGTGGGGTAACCACATGCTTGCTGATAGGCTGTGCAACTTGCTACAAGATCCTGAAGAAGGTCAGGAAATGTATTGAGAGGATCCGAGCTGCACGTGGAGAATCCGAAAACTCCGAATCCATTGAGGAGGAGCAGTGAAATGGCGAAATTAACCGATGAACAATTTACGTCCATGTTTTCTGGCGTCGCTGGTATTGCGAGCCATGTGCTGTTGTTAAAGTGTAAAAGTGTAAAACGCACAGGAAACAAGCAAATTTCGAGGTGTAAAACAAGTGTTGACATGGATTGATATTGGTGATAATAATGGCGACTCCATTAACAAAATCTTGAGTCAGTTGTTTTGAACATTTCCTCACACTTTGTGGTGAATCCTTGTATATTTGGTAGCTATTCTCAACAAGATATGTCTTTAAGCGAGTATACGGGGAATAATATTTGGGAATCAGGACTCACCAGATGACGTATAAGCTTGAAGAGTTGGATTTAGCAAACCATTACCTTCGCGTGTCGAATAACTTAAAAGATACAAATGGAAATCAGCATGATCAGTAGCTTATCCAGTCTTAAAAAAGAGCTGGACTTAAAAAATCAACCGCGTGAAAATAAGATAAGTAGAAAAGAAGCACACTTTGAGGCAATAACAATATGTTGAAGAGTTTAATACCTTAATGCTATACAACGGTAAATAAAGAAGGTGGTGACGCGGGCGTCGCAAAACCATTTATTTGGAGGGGGGTTGCTACATGAAATGTGCCGACAGGCCTCACGCAAAATGAGTGTACTGTATCCCCATTCCTTTCATCCTCGTTTCGTTCTCCATTCTTCGTTTTTTTGTTTTGCTGACAAACCATGATTTTGCCGACAAAACTAACCAATGGGGTGACACCCCCCCCCGATCCAGCGACGGCCCTGGGTGGTGAAGGGAAAGACATGAATACCAGGGTAAATAAGGCAAGGACTTCCTTACAAAACTAAGCAAGATGTGGCAGTCTAACTGTACAGAAGAAAAACCAAGTCAAACTTTATAAATCCTTGGCAAGACCCGTACTTCTTTATGACTCCAGCACATGGAAACTGAACCAAAGTGGTGAAAACACACAAGTTTCTTTCCACTACTTGTTCATGTGAAAGGTCTACTCATACTTTTACCATCCACGATTTTAATAGAAGACCTCAACGATTACACCAGTGCAAGAAAAGTCGATAGGTCAGGCGAAGAAGGTAAAAAGATAGGTCTGCATTCGAGGGTGGGTCCTAACACAAATTTTCAAGGGGGGGGGCGGAAGTTTAGGATCTGGTTTCATGTGAACTTTTATGGCGTGTCAAAAAGTCGAGACTGCATTTTGTTGATCTTTTTTACACGCTTTGGGAGGAAAGAGAGATAGAAAGAGAAATAATGTAGAACGAAATGAGGGAGTGAAGTTTTTCATTGCCCCCGTGAAGCCTCTGCCCGCGCCTAATCCACGCAATACTGCAGGCCTGACACGCATGACGCAGTTCTTCCATGGTGAAAATACATCATACATTAAAGCTTCATCGTGTTGCTAGAGCACAATAGTGGTTATTTTTTTCAGGTGCGGAAGAACGGGAATAATGCATATGCCTTGATAGACAAAAAAGAGGATGTAACACGAGTTAATGGTCACGTGCGTTTAAACAAGTTTTTCGTCATCGGCAGAAAAAAGATACATATTTAAAGCAGCAACCGTATAGATCCATTCGGAATATTTTTGCATATGAATTTAACTTTGCCCGTGCACTTAAGTGGCTTCGATCGATTATGTGATCTTTTGTACACAGGATTACCCACAACGTGGAGTATGTCCCTGGACTGCGCTGGGCCGCTGCGGGTGTAGTTGCATGTGCGTCTGAGCCCGTTTATATTCCTTCTCTTGTCAGTGAAATTTTCTAGGTCATATTGGTCCAGCGACTACCACTGTCTCTTGGATTACTCTGGAAAAAGGAAAGTGACTCGTAACAATGCCGTGTTGACTGACGAGTGGTTACCACGTGACTACGCACATAAATATTACGTAATTGATGTTTACTTAGCTCAGTCAGCGGGTGGTTATCAAGCATGCATCCACGATGCAACATACAGCGTCACCGTGCGTAAAAGAATTTTAAGGAGTGGTTGCGTTCCACCACTCAGCTCAGTCGCTGTGGATACACGGTAGACAGAAGTACACAAATCTGTGGACAAAGTTCTGCAATCTACCATGGCCCATACAAACGCTTCGTTCAATGTAGCAGACGGAGAGAAGGTGAGATTGCTTTCTATGAGAAGAGGAAATGACTTTTTACAACACAGCCTTATAATTTTGTTACATGCGACAAAAATGCACCTAAACGATCCGTGACTGGCCTCATATGAATGGGGTCCAGACACTGCATTTCTGACTTGGTGCCGCGTTTCCTGGATACGGAGGAAGTCCATTATCAAGGTCCGAGGCATTTATGAGGAAGTTGGTGGACCTACCGGGCTCTTGTAAGGCGTAGGCTTGGACAAAATACACTCACAAAAGACGAATTCACATGATTGCGGGAAATTTCGCTCAATTCCTTTCAGCACAATTTGTAAAGCCACTGAGGAAAGATTTCCATATACGGACATCGGCTATCAGCCATCAGAAAAGTGATAACATGACCTAAAATGCCCATTTTGACACTAAGGGAATATAAGGAAGCATTTACCAAGGAATAAAGTTTTCAGACTAGTTTCAGCAGGTTTGTACACAGCCCGGAGAAATGTCTGTGTATTGAACCCCCCCCTCTAAAAAAGTTCGAGGAAGCATTTCGGGGAGGGAGCTGTAAGCTACAGACATTATGGACTTGAGGTTGTTATGGCCAGGCATTTATTAAGAGTTCGGATGAGATTTATTGTGACGAAACAAGACAAGAAGGCGTGATTGATATCTTAAATTAGAGCTAATTTTACGCCAATTTCTTGATCTGTTTGTTTTGAACGTTTCAGTGAATATTTTTCATGACGTGTTCTTTGATGCAGGGAGTCAAGCTGACTCAAGATGGCCCACCACCTTCTTATGGCGGCCAGGCACCAAATGGTAAGTGAAACGGAGGACTGAAAGAATGACCACTTTCGTCTTGTAATTTTGCACAAACTGTTTCTTACAATTCCACAGTAATTGTCGTGAAAACTTTTTATCACGGTTTTATATATAGACATGTGCATGTAGGCCTATAGGGTCCACACTTTTCTTGTCATAATTTCTCAGTCAAATTGTTGCCAAGAACGGAGGTATTCCTAGCAACAAACTCAAGACGATGAAAATGAGTCGAAAGGGTCGAAAATGCAACAGACGAGTAAAACTGGTTTACGTACCTGAAACCCGATTGTGAAGAGATAGTTGGATTTGCAGCAAAATTTGCAAAATTACAGTTTATAGTGACACAGGCTAAATGTTGCTTTATTGTTTTTTTTCTGATGTTGAGGTTTTTGTGCATTTTATTCGTTTAGAAGCCCCACCTTCCTACCAGTCAATTATGGAGAAGATCAAAGAGGCCCAGGCTAATTCAGAAACACCTGCGCACTTCGTCGGCAAGTCCACCAACATCGTGCGCCAAACAGGTAGAGACCACTTCATTAAATATGTCCAACTCCATTTGAAAGCCAACATAATTCTGTTTTTTTCATGTAGAATCGACCATTTTCATCATTTTGCTTCAAACAGTGCATAATGTGGCTCTTTTTTTTCTTATGTAGCTTGTACATCGCTTTGCATGGGATTGTCCTACCTCGTACCGGTGTCGATGGTCGTCATGGGTAAGAATTGTTCCTGAACTTTTTAGGGAGCTAAATAAATTCCCCAGTTCTTAGGGATCACCCATTATCAACGTGTCTAGTTCAAATCGCATATATAAGTCAGATAGCCCTTCCGACTTCGATATTTTGAACTCTGAACGCAGCTATAGGGCCAACAGAAAAGCGGCAATGTAAACTCTTCTGTGGTCCTATGCGTGACAAAGAACAAACTGCGCTCGATGCTCTTCAAGTGAACGAATGAACAAACACCATAAAAAAAATCAAGGGGACCCTTGGGATAAGATCTGCCGATTTTCTCTGATCAGAATAGAGCATTCCACAGTTGGATATCATTGTAATTATTGTGTTTATTAGCCATAGAAATTGCAATTTTCTGTCCTTTTTTCACGACCAATAGCAATTATTTGAGATTTATAATTTTTCTATTGCCTTTTTTCGACTCCAGGCTCAGTGTTCTTTGATGCTTGTCCAGTGGAACCAATGATCCCGATCTACCTGATCGTATTTGGTGCTGTCTACCAAGCCAAGCTATCAATAGATCTGAATGTCAGAGGCTGTCGTCACCGTTGCCAGGAGAACGGTGAAGAAGCCGATGACAACAAATGCGTAAAGTTTCTGAACTGGCTCAGCAGACTCTTTGGAATATTCCTCTTTGGATTTTTCATCGCAGGTAAATATCAGCTAGTTTTGTGTAGAGTATTTGTTAATTGACTGTAAATATTTACTGTATTATGAGCCTTCTTCGGTTACAACGAGACCTATAGTCATTCCAGACAAAAGTAGTTCCGCGCTTTAGGCATAAGCTAACATGGAATTGTGATTTTGTCTGAATATAGGCAATGTGTGGATCTTCCGCAACTGGACGCCCAGTAATGACCCTTCTAGTGCCAGCTATTGCTACGGTCCACTCTACTATTACGCATTCTGGGTCACCATTTCCTCCTACATCGTCGTGGGACTGCTGATGTGTTGTATGTGCACATGTTTTATCTGTGCATGTTGTGTTTGTTGCAAAGCCGCAGCCTCTAGCCAGAGCGGCACTAAATAGTGGATATTGGCCATGGATCGGCGGCCCTGAAGAGTGACAAAAATCATACATCTTACTTTTTGTGGAGTATTGACAATGCTGTTATATATCAAGACAAAACTGCAAGAACGTTAACAAGCTGGTTGAAACTGTTCACTGTACATCCTATTAGCAAATCTGCGGTACTCGATCAGGAAGGGATCATTGTGATAAATTGGGTTGAAAATGTTCTACATTCTTGAACGAAATGTCTTGGGATGCAAGAGAAAACACTCATATTTGAAAAGGTTTTGCGTGGGAAAGTGTCTCGGGGTACCCAGTGCGTACATGTGTAATGCCTTTGGTAGCCTGTCTAGTCTATAAATATCAACTCCTATGTCAATGTCATTAGTGCTGCACGTATATAAACCACTACATTGTATCTCCCTATGTGTTCCTTCAGTGCTTATAATGAACGTGAAAAACGTGTTTGCAAGTAGCATTTTCACATATTTTAACCATGCAGAATAATTCTTTTTGACCCGAGTAGGCTATTCTTGCTTTAGGCTTATGACTTTTGTATAAAGTATATCATGATTGCAATCCGTCTTGAGATAAGACTTCTGTCATTTTTTATCCGTTTGGTTTTTCCCCAGTCGTGTAATAACTAAGTATATACCTATGCGTTCTCGTTGATAGATTAGTGGTTTGTATGCAACAAGGTTGCTTTCATTTATCAGATTTGTTTCCTTCCCATTAATAAGAACTAAGTTATCCTTGGATACTTTATCTCCAGGTAGACTATAGTGGATTGCATGCAATAATCTTTTTGGGTTAATAATGGAAGTTTAGTGTTTAGCCTGTAAACTTGCGTTGTTTGTGTGATTTGATTATACAATATTTTGTGTGGCTGACTTCACAAATTAAAAATGACATGTGAAATTACAATCTAACTTTATTACTTCTACTCCATTAAAATATACTAATACAATTTGAATACATGTATTCAAATTATATATGTATAAAGTGCTCTGACTTCTGATTTTTATGAAAGTGTTAACAAATAAAGATCGTATCAGTGATCCCAAAATAAAGGCTCTCAGTGACTCGTTAGTAATTTTGCGTCAGGGTGATTTCGAAATTTCTGAACGACATGAAGGCAGGTGTTAAGCTTTCAGATACAAGAGAAAGGAATTTTCTTTACGAGAAAGCGACTGAGACCTGTCCTATACAAAGATCCATACAGGAGAGGATTTTGCGTTACAGCCTTTCCCCAATTGCAAAACGAACATCAACTGCCGTATGATATAACCCCTATAGTAACACTAATTTAAGCTTTCACGTGAATGGCATTCCTGCTAGTTTGTAAGGTATGTTGTTAGCATTCATTCCAACCCTTCTGCAATCTTCTTTGTGAGCTGTTGGGTACTTATGTCATTGTCCAATCAACGCTAAAAATGGGTCCTTACAGAAACTGGGGTGTGTCGTGCTCACGCCACAGCTTTCCGCGTCACGAGGGGCTTGCTCGCACTCTCCCTCTCTGGCCAGCACCACACTGCTGACTAGCTGGTCCCGTGGTCCACTCTGAAGGGACCCCCTTTGCCCAACACCAGGCTTCCTCAGGCCAGTCTGACTGCCGTCTCCTGCCAGGAACCTAAGACCTGACCTGCCAGTGACTGCGACAATGTCATTTCAGTCCACACTCTTTGACACTATACCGGTATCTGCATAATTTGAAATTCTTTACAATCGTATAATTTTTATTGAATGTAAAAATGCTGATTTTCCTGCGTTCTTTGACTTGGGAGATTTAATTTAATTTCGTTAACCTTGGTCTCCGCTGTCCTGTCTTTACGATGTGTGTACTTGGTTAATTGAGGGTTTAATTTCCTTCTCCCCGCAAAAATCTGAAAGTTCACATCGGCAAATACTTGTATATAACTCCTCAACATTGTTCACAAAAACAATCAACAAATAACATTGTGGTCTGAAGTCTGAAATTCATCCAATGAATCCCCGTCTACCCTAGCCCATATATAAACCATCAGTTGACAATGAGATCAGGAAAAGGCTACAGGGTCTGCTGATGCAAGGCCTTGCTTTCTATCATAGCAGGAATCTATTTACATGTACATTGAGAGGGTGCGCACATTTTTCATCGGGGAATGGTCGAAAGAAAATGAATTGCAGTTTGAGCATCGTTTTCAGTTCTAGATTTCATATGGGGGGACACCCAGGGCACGAGCACCCCTGGAAGTACACATCTCAGTCCCCTTCCTGTACCACTTTCCCTTGACGTTCCAAATTACTGCAGTGGGCGTATCCCATCCCAGTGATGGGATGCACCCATCTCTATTTCTTATGTTAAAAGGAAAAGAGAGTACGCCTTTTCTTAGCTCAGATAGGCCATGGTTGAGGGCCTAAGGCATGGCCTATTAAATAGGTTGACGCACTCAGCTGGCACGAATTTCTCGACTGTAGTGTACTGACGTGTGACAGGTGGTTTGTTCAGGGAGGTTAGAAGTGGTTGGTTACCGGGACGGTTGGAGGATGTAGGACTGGGAACCAGTCTACCTTGTGTACCTCAGCGCTATATACCGAGGCAGGAAGTCAACATGGCTGACGCTGGACCTATCGTGACGGACCAGGTAAAGCATTCTTTCTGAAAATCTGCACCAAAAATGTAAGATTGGTCACAAGAGCACTGGGAAAAAGTCACTCCTGCAGTGGTTAACAGAATAGCACAAGGTGTCTTTCATTTATGATCAGTATTTCGGTGATTGCGACCATCGAATACTTTAAATCCCAACACGTACATGACGTAGGCCTAGTACTATTACCATTTACTAGGCCTAGTACTAGTACTAGCCCTAGAACTAGTGGGGGTCCGACGTCTGCTCCTCTCCCACGAGCTCCTCAGAAAAAGAGCCTTTTTCGCCATAGGCTATGCATGACGTGTAACAGGGTACGAACAGCGATTCAATTCGAGTTGTGTACCCATAGAAATTTTGCTTCATTTCCCCCGAGAGTTTTATGTAAGATAACTTTCATACCTTTGTTTTGAGTACCAAGAAAGAAAAGGGCCCAAACCATACCGTTTTCAAAAAAAGGTGCAAATATTTCCTAATCTTTGTCTGAGAGTCATGCGGTTTACATGCGAAGATGAGCCGTGACCCAATGGTTGACTATGGCTGCGATCGATACACAAGACATGGAAATTGGCTACAGCCACTTTCTGTACGTCATGTGTGCAATTCTTAGCCGCGCTGGTTGAAATGCCAGTTGGCTGTGGGGTGCTGGGGTCACACTGACCAATCACAGGGCTCCTCATTATTTATGCCCAAATTGAAGTAATACAAGCAACAGCTGTTGGGTGCACAAAGCCGCTCAACAGGAAGCGTTCACTGTGCGATAGCGTGCTCACATGCACTGATATGCAACAGCTGTTTATAAAGAAGTAAAACTAAAATAATGGATATTGCTTTCAGAGAAAACAAAAGAGCCTCACTTCGTGATAAATGTTCCATTTTACTTGTCATTGACCCCGTTTTCCAGTCTTCTGCAAAAACATGTTGTGATTAGATGCCCTTTGCCAAGAGAATGAGATTGGAATAACTGGGACTGCGATGCATTGCCTTACATTTATTAATCTGGCAAGGAATAACTTTAAAAAAATTTGTTACCTCAATCCTAAATGCATCAACAGCTTTGACAGTAATATTATTACTTGGTATGCAGGTATTGCAAATTTCATTCTCTTAGTGGACCCATTCTTTTATTGATGTCTGAAAAATTGAGTATACATTCTGCGTATACAACAATCACGTGTGAACAACAGGGGCCCAAATGTGTACCCTTCAGACCTGAAGATTTGAATAGTTACCAGTGGCACCGTGTTACTCGCAATGTATCAATGTGTGCTTACACGCTCTGTATGGCCGATCATCCCACTCCATGAGCCAATAGCGTTGGATGCAGAGGCCTATTGCAATTTTAGGCTTACATGTATAATAGGCCTAGACCTGTTTCTGCCTTTCAAATCTTCCAAAGCCACAAATCACAAAAAAGTGAGATATATCCAGGACTTGATTTAGAACAATAAAGGATGATATTGCAGCTTTTCTGGAGGAAAAAAAAAAGGGGGGCACAGACTGACAACCTCGCGGTGGGAATAAATTTGTGCTTACCACAATGCTATTAGCGTGGTGTCAGCTCAGTTGCTCTCTGTATTACAGTATAACCAGTTCATGAAGGAATATATTGGTAACCTTTCTTTGCCTGTGTCATAGTTGCAGTTTGTGCCTATCATTGCCGTTTGGCAAACCATGGTTAGCTGTCAGGACATAAAGGAAATTGGGAAATTGTTAAGGCTAACTCACTTGGCCCTTTTGGCTTAGAGCCATCCTCTGTCCTTCAAAGTCCTCCAACTGTCTCCAAGTAGAAACTGGGTACAGCCATGTGGACAAATTCACATATCATCTAGGCCTGCATTTCTGCACAGCACTGCAGAGCATAAACATCACAATGTCTAATCCAAGACCTTGAGACAGTGCACCCTTTGCAGTCAGCCACACTTTTTTTGCCGTATACATTGTAACATCAATCTTCCCAATCCCCAGAACTGACATGAGGATTTGAGAGCATCTTCTATCTTGAAATTAAAAGGAAAAAAACCCAAAAAACTGAAATTATTTTTTCATTAATGCTTGTCATTTTTGATATATATATATGTTTATGTTTATGTTTATCTCATATATATTTTGTACAGAGTCCTGAGGATGCAGATCCTGAGCTTGGTCTTACAAATGTTGTACCTTCACCCCCTGATTATGGGAGTAGTGATAAACCTGCTGATCCCTCGTCGGAATCTCCACCCCCTGCATATAATGAAGTTGTTAAAGGTATCTTAATGTATGAAATCAGGGTTTGCAAGGCATGTTTGGCATTTGTTCACCTCTTTGTAGTCAGTGCTTACTTCAGCAACTCCTATGATGAGATTGTATCTGCTGGATAATTGCTCCTACGTTTTCAACCTCAGAAGAAAAGAGAAGAAAAGGAAAATAGGACTCCTGCCAGTCACAAGTTGTAATTAAGCAAACAAACTAAATAAAAAACCACAGTGATTTAACAGAATTAACAGAACACTGTTATTCATGGCACCTGAAGTTGGTGTAACAACCCAACAAAGACAGTAAGAGATTTGCACAGTAAAATTTTCATCCTACCTGCCTAGTTGGATAATTTTGGAAGGTGTTACTGTGTGAACACAATTGTTCTGACAGCCTAACCAGTTAGGGCTTAAGTTTTTAGCCCAAGTTTGTTGGTCAAGATACAGTGAGCATTCTGCCAAGTTCTGTTAGGTTTGGACATTCATTAAGTTTTCTCTGGTGAGTGACAAACATTCCATTGATGTCTTCCATCTTAACAGATGCACCACCTTCCTACCAGTCAATCTTTGGCAAGATGCAAGATGCTAAGAAGACCTCCTCCACACCAGTGCACTTTCTTGTCAAACTCATCAGCATCTTACTTAATACAAGTAGGTACCTTCTCATGTCAGTAAATCTTTGTATATTCACTTTCCATTAGAATATTCTTTGAATCCTACAAACTTCAACCTTTTGTTGATATTTCTCTTTGCAAGCATGGTCTGGCTGCATGCCTTCATGAGAGATAATTTGCTAAGCTGTGGAATACTTTATTGTAAAGTAAAACTCCGAGTGAATAGTACGTGTACTGCTTCTGATAGTCTAAATATGCATCGCCTAGGAAGGGAGAAGAATAATGTAGTAATAACAATGTTGTGGAGTATGAGTATGAGTATTTCCATGAGTATGAGTACTTTACCATGAGTACTAGGCCTAATGAGTACAGTACAAAAATTCATTCATGTCAATGTGAGTACAATCCGAGTACCAAAAAGGACTTGAGTATAAGTATGAGTACTTTACCATGAGTACTGGGCCTAATGAGTACAAGTACCAAAATTCATTCATGTCAATGTGAGTACAAATCCGAGTACCAAAAACGGACTTGATTATGAGTGCTACAACATTGAGTAACATAAAGGAAATAACCTCTTGTCGGTGTTCAGGGACTTATATATAAAGCATTATCAAACCAACTTGATGAGAGTAGTAAAAGTACCTGAAGAGAATCTTGCTTTAGTTTCTGATTTGTATGTTTTATTCAACAGTTGTTGTCACAATAGTTCTTGCTGTGATGCTGGCTATCCCTATTGCAATGATTGTAATGGGTAAGTAGATGTACCCCTCAGCTCCCTCTGTTTTGTCATACAGTTGCTAATTAGTGTACATACTTTGGCATTTGTGTAGCATTCAGTCTCATTTCAGAGTTGTGCAATAAAGTGCTTCATTTAAGTTGTTCTTAAAATCAACAGTTGTTTAAATTTTAATCATTTTATTACATTGCTGAGAGTTTGGTTGGCTTAAATTTGATCCATCCATTGATATCTGGAGTGAAATTAAAGTTTAATTGCATTATTTATTTAACTAAATTTAAACAATCTGAATGCCAACCATAAATCCTTAATTTGCTCTGCATCCGCACTTCCATTTCTCACCAATGACCAATCCTCTCACATTAATGGTTAATGTTCCTTAAATTGCATCTTATTTCACCCTTTCAAATTTGATCTTTCTGGATCTGCAGGTGCCCTTTACAAAGATGACTGTCCTGTGGAACCCAAAATCCCCATCT